TTGGAAAATATTTCAGGATAGAAGAATTTCAGGTATCACTTGACTTTGGACTTAGGAACTTAGGGACTATCCATAGGCATGGTATAAAGAAGGGACATTTGATTCTGCACACATTCATGTCAACATGGATTCCACAATAATTAACATCAATCAATACCCAACAAGGCTTCCCTTCCCAAAATTCAAGATAATTGTATTTATAAGAAGACAAGAGCCTTGCTAGATCAAGCCAACCCATCAGGTACAACATTCTATACCTATAAAATCCAATTAGAGATATATTAGAAGCTCATGAACACAGATGGATAGTATTCTTCTGGCACTGGCAGCGGGTAAAGCATATAGTTTGACATTCTAGAGGTAGCCTATAGCCATCAAGACAAACGACTCTCTTCTCAATAAACTTGCCTAGTCCTATTTTAAAATGAGTTACAGTGCTGGCCATCATAATATCCGATTGTACAGCAAATTCCACAATTGAATTCTGCACTTTTAAAATTAATATTGCATTAATAACTAGATCTTTCTACATACACTTTAATATATGATTTAGCATTCTATTATTTTGAAAGAGAGAAACTATTATCTCTATCTCCATTTTCCATACTACTCATGATCTTTATCTCATTCATCTTCATTTTAAACTAATATTCCTAAACATTGCAATCTTTCCTTTTAGAAAAACCTACTTTAACTTCCCAATCATTTTCCTCTATATTTACCTGCTCTGTGAGATATGGTGAACAGATACCCACAGAATTCTATCTCACAATTATTTTAATTCAATTCTTTCTAATGAAATTCAATTTGATATTTTTGCTGGAATTAAAATGGAAGCTGCTTACTATTTTCACCCACAAAGGCTCTCAAAATTACTGAGTTGTCAATAGCAGCTAAAATACAATGAACTTGCTCTCCCACATAGATGGTATTCCACTACCTACCAACTGGTGACTGGTGAGTAACCTGTGATTATTGGAAGGAGCGACAATTGCTTATTGCCATTGGGATTGTGGTAGATCATTCAGTGCCAAAATTGCATGATATATTGTGTAACTGAAACAATTAAATGCATTTCTAACATATGTCAATAAACTCCCTCTAGATAATCAGGCATATTACCTGTTAGAGCAAATTGAGCCTGCTTTTAATAGTATTCTATGACAGCTCTATATAAACATTATCAAACTCTTTGCTAATTGTGTCAAGTATACATGCATCAATGTTGAGGAGTATGTTTTGTTTAGACCAGGGGTTCCCAACCTTTTCTATACCCTGCACCCCTGCAATGCTTCTGATATATTCTCGCACCCCTTACAAAAGTAAATAATTATATGCATATAATTATGCATATACACTATAATTTTGAAACTTCTAAACCCAAGTTTTATCACCCCCTAGAATATCATCTCACACCCCCGTTTGGGAACTGGTGGTTTAGACATTAACTTAAATGCTTTTAAGGGAAAAAATTCTGATGTGTAAAGGGTTCTCTGCATGGAACAGGTAGGATTGGATGATCTGTTCCTAAACTGATTTGAACTAAAATTCAAGTGTTGAAGTGGAAATTACTAATATTCTAGTAGAGATGCTTCACAGAGAATAGGAAAAAATCACTGTCAATGTCCTTGGCTTCAAGCACAGCATATCCAACTGGTCCATCTACCTATTAGCCTTCCCAGCATTTTTCTTCTGCCCCTTAGCCACCAATATTTTTAGCTACAAGCACAGTATATCCAAAGATGGGGAGCTGGGAAGGGACAAATGTTACCCTACTTGAAACTGAAGGCAATGATTACAATGGCTAAGAGGAGACTGGAAAATGAAGGAGCTAGGAAAATTGTTGGGCTGACTGATGCACAGGCTGTGTTGAAGAGTAAGATACAAGGTTCATCAGTCTTGCCCTGCTTACGCCTCTGATTTTGTCTTGACTAAAATCCAGGGCAGTCAAAATGTTCTGGTTCTACTGAATTACTCTCTATTTAGATCTATTTGGCAGAACGTCTGAAACACATTTTTGTACAGAAAATGTTTCACAATTTATGCACAAACAATGCATATAGCTACTGTATAAAGGAGTACAGAGACAGTTTTGAAGAAAGTATTTAACAGCTATCACATAAACATTAGGTTGGTCTGAAAAGGGGAGGAAGAAAACTCATGTTTACTCTGCCTTGAGTCTCTTTGGTATAAGATGGGAGGGGGGAATCTTTGTCAGGCTTTCAAGATTCTGTTGTTACACAAGGACTTTATACCGGTAGTAGTCCTAGTGAGTCTCTTTCCTGACTTGGCCAACTTAAAAGGCTTATAGTATGCATATCAATGTGAACAGCAGCTGACCAGTGATATCAGCGTAGGAACTGCATGACCTGTGCTGTTTTTCTCTCATGGCTGTTTCATGGCACAATCCTCCTCACATTTTCAGTTGTCGGTTTGATTTTGAAAACAGCTTTGAGTATTTTTCTGGAAAAGTGCCAGACCTGTGTCCAAAAGCAGCCTACTTACCAACTAATAATCAGGCCATTTTAGGCATGGGTTTAGTATTACTGTACTCAATATCAGATGATAGTCAGATGTCCTTTGAATGCATCCATACAAAACCAGAACTAATTTGATAGATGGCTAAACATAGTGTTCTAATTGTTCCAAACTCATCTCCTTCCTAGTCATATTAAGGAGATCAATTGTTAAGTATTTTCCTGCTGGCTGGTAATTTGATAATAAGGAAAGAAATAGAGCTCCATTCTGATAATGTCAAGAAGTTCATAAAATCCCAAAATGTGTCCTAAATTTTATAACAGTTGGCTTGTGAAGCATGTGTTCTTTTGGTTACTTTTATACAACTGGTCAAAATGCTATTATTGAAGCAAATGTACGATTTGGATTAATGACTGTGTTTGAGATGTGATAACAGTACTCTGTTACTGATCTTCCAAGTGTTTTGTAATTGTTGGTTAACATTTATACATAACATGAGCCTGACCCCAAATTGTTGCAATATTATATGTTCCTGTTCATTGTATGGTCAGCCCCACCTTCCTTCATTCCATTTTTATTTTACCTCCTTAGATCTCCTTCTCATTTGTTTTCTACCCATCATTTTCAGATTCCTTTAATATTGCTTCTTGCTGCCAGTTTCCTTATTATTTTGCAGTTAACAGTTAAGAATAACTGCTGCAAAAATATTTTAATTAATAATGGAACAGCAGACAAAGCAGAATACTGTATTGGAAAAAGCAAGAAATTCCAGTACCATCCATCTTCACTAGATGAGCTGGATTTCTAGTAATTACTAATATATCTGGTGTTTTACTTTATACACTGCTCCAAGGAAAGGCTGGCTAAAACAGTGGTTCTCAGCATGGACCAGATGAATCCAGAGGAGCCATGTCATTTTTCTAGGGGCCAAATCAATATATGTGAAATAATTCAGATAGTGAAGACTTTTTTATACTAACACTAAGAAAGGGGTCACAGGGGTGATGAGGCTCAGAAGGGGGCCATGAGCAAAAGATTGAGAATTCATGGACTAAAGCATAGAATAATAAACAGAGTTGGAAGGGATCTTAGAGGTCTTCTAGTTCAATCCCCAGCTCAAGCAAAGACCCTATACCATTCCAGACAAGTGCCTGTCCAGTCTCTTCTTAAAAGCCTCCTGTGATGGAGCACCCACAACTTCTGAAGGCAAGTCAGTCCACTGATTGATTGCTCTCACTGTTAGGAAATTTATCCTTAGTTCTAGGTTGCTTCTCTCTTTGATTAATTTCCATCCATTGTTTCTCATCTTTTCTTCTGATGCTTTGAAAAATGGGTTGACCCCCCCACCTTCAAATATTGAAACACTGCCATCATGTCACCACAGTCCTTTTCAGTAGACTAGGTATACCCAGTTCCTGCAACCATTCTTTGTATGTTGAAATGTATTTGGATATTAATAGCTTGGGTTGGGAGTTAGGCGGTTGTTCTGAGCTCCGAGCTTGGCAATTTTGTTGCAAACATTTCATCACCATTGGGGGGGGGGAAACATCTTCAATGCCCTTTGAACTATCAAATTGTCAATTCAGATTAATTCAATTGTTAATTGGAAGCACACTGCCGAAGTCTCATTAAATGGTGACGAAAGGTCTGCAACCAAATTGCCAAGCTCGGAGCTCAGAACAACATATATTATTTTATTAATTTATTATTTGATTATTTTCTTCTATTAGTTCTATTTTTTTTTCTTTATGATGGTTTTATATTCCTATAAACTGCCTTGAGTCGCCAGGTGCGAATAGGTAGCAATATAAATTTTCTAAATAAATAAAACAGCCGATTCTTCGTATGTTTTGAGCCTCCCAGTCTTCTCCCTCAACCCAAAATATCAGGTCTCACCTGCATGATGTCCCAGGGTTCAGTTCTAAAAGCCAGCCAGCAAAGTCCCTGGGCGCCACAATAAGAACCACCTTTCCGACAGAACGGATCGAAGAGGAGGCCGAGCTGAGCTCACGAGGACCCTCCACGGACTTTGGCCAGGAATGCAAAGGCTGCGCTGGACCAGAGGCTGAAACACACGCGCGCCGCCAGCCAAGGAGGGGACGAAGAAGCTCATTGGCAGAGCCCAGCGCGAGCTCTGGCAGTTGGCCGCGGGGGTCGCCGCGTCGCGCACGTACTCGGAATAAGCTACGCACCGCTAAGGAGGGAACAAGGAGGAGCTCGCGCTGGAGCCCAAAGGGAGATGCGCTAACATATTAGGAGCATTTTGGGTGTCTTTCCCCGCCACCACCACTCTCCCCTCCAACTGGCGCACCACGACAACTCCCACTTCCCACCTGGGCTTTGGTTCGCTGCTCGCGCGCGCACGCGCAGGAGGCAAAAGGGCAACATCTCCCCCCCCCCCGTCCTCCAAAATTCGCTTCTTCCCTTCGAGCCGGAAGAGGGCGCTCTCGCCACCGGTTACAAAAGATCAGCAATCCTCTCGGCCTGCTCGTTTCCCCGTCGTGCACCGCGCGAAGCGGGACGCCGGCGCTCTGGGTGCTGGCGGTTTCTCACTGGTGCCATTGAGGGCGGTAGTGGGCCCTCAAGGCTGCGCTTGGCACCGCCGGTTCTCGCCTTCCGCCTCGCCCTCGGCCTCGCCATGTCGTGCAACTACGTGGTCACCGCACAGAAGCCCACGGCCGTCAACAGCTGCGTCACCGGTAATGGGTTTGGGACGAGGGGGGGGGGCTTTCCCGGGATCGGTGAACGGGCGGCGGGGGAGGAATGAAGGGAGGAGGCCGCGGGTCTCTGCGCCCCTCCGGCTTTGGGCTTCTGCCAATCGGAGCGCCCTCACCCCGGGGCCTTTCCTCTTCGCCGCAGGTCACTTCACCTCCGCGGAGGACCTCAACTTGTTGATCGCCAAGAACACCCGCCTTGAGATCTATGTGGTCACCGCAGAAGGGCTGCGGCCCGTCAAGGAGGTGGGCATGTACGGCAAGATCGCCGTCATGGAGCTCTTCCGCCCCAAGGTGAGCATCGCCCCCTCCCGAAGGGCAGCGCGGCCGCTGGGCAGCCTTTACGGCTCTCTGTCCAGAAAGGGATTCCTGCAGCGGATCTGGGTTGGGCTTCTGGTTCGAGCGGGAAAGTTTCGTTGGTTTCGGATCCTCATGCTGGTTAAAACCCCGGTCGTTGGGGATGGGGAATCTCTGGGGAATGCGACCTCGGTGGAAACCTGGCCTTGTGCGGCTTGCTAGCCAGGTGGAGGGGTATGGTTTTGTTAACATTTCAGCCCAGTATTCTGTTTATACTGGAAAGAAAAGACACCTTTTTGAAAAGTTCAGGTATGCAAAAGGCTTTATTTTTTTAGGACTGGTGCCCTGCTGGAATTTAGCAGGTTGTGATGATTGCACACAGCCAGTCTGTTGTGAGTTTATTGTGTGGGCCTGTCATGTGGACTTGAGTATTTTCTTCTGGATGATTCATTTTTGATATGGTCATGATTGGACTCTGAAATTTACTGTGCTTCATTGCTGCTGAGTATCAATAAAACTGAGAACTTGGTCTTTTTAAGGGGGATATTTGAAGGAAATATGTTAAGCTGTTCTCAACAGTAATCTTCTCAACCAACTTTTGTAAGTCTGTCTGAAAAACAGCTATGCTGTCTGGCCTGGCCATTTGAATAACATTTGAGGTAAAATGTTTGCATCTGTTTGCTGCAATTCTCCCTTGAACATCAACAGCTCTGGTGCTTCTCATGTTCTTTGATGAATTCATGTTGTGTTTCACATGAAACTAATTAATATACTTTCTGATTAAATACTTTTTGGAGGAGCTTATTGATGTGCAGGTACAGAAGAAAATGCTTAATACAGCACTAATACCGTAGGAAGTTGTCATAAGCAAAGGCATCTGTATTTCAGACGTTTTTCATTTGAGATACACATTTTATAAATGGAATAATATCTTGTTGCTAATGTGTTGCAGAATGTGGAGTGTTTTTTTCTTTTCTAGCTAAAACTTTTTTTCTCCTCCTTAGGGGGAAAGCAAGGATTTGCTCTTTATTTTGACAGCAAAATATAATGCTTGCATTCTTGAGTATAAACAAAGTGGAGAGAACATTGACATCATCACCAGAGCCCATGGCAATGTGCAGGTAAAGGAAAATGCATTAAGTGTAATAGGTACATTGTGATTCAGGACCACACAGCAGTTTTCTGTATGTTTTGTAAACCGAGTTTGAACTTTTGGATAATGTATATTCCAAGTTAAGTAATGTAAATCATACAATTTTTGTGTGTTGAAATTAATGAATAGTGCAATTTGAGAATTGAGACCATGCTTGTCTTTTTGTTATCAAATTATTGGATGGACACTATTAAATTTTTCCTACTTTTCCATTAAGTCTTTGTTTCCTTCTAGTGATGTGCAATTAAAAATACATTTGTCATTGTTATGAGATCGAAGAAGCCTTGTTTGTTCAGTTAGCTATTTTATGTTCTTGTGATCTACAAACTCTCGTTGAATATGTTTCAAGAAAAAAGATTTACAATCTCTCAGTTGTTAGAATCTTGTTCTACTATGCTGCATAAAGGCAATTTATAAACAAGACTTTTATATGCAGCAAAAATCATTTGAGTGGTTAGTTTTCTTGGTTTCTTTTTTTACACTTCCCAAAGACATCTAATTGACCACTGTGAAACGGGTAGCTTAATTTATCTGATCTCTATCTAACCTAAGAGGACTTTTATTTTAAGCATTCAGTTATTATTTAAAGGCTTTTTCTTGGAAAAATCAGGGTCAAAATTTAAAAATGTGAGCTATTTTTAGTAACTGAACAAATCTGTCCTCATTTTTTTTCTCCCAGTTCTATATTGTACTAATTGGAACTCAGTCAGACTCCTCAGTTGTCTCTCCCCTCCATCCAAATGTGACGGGGGATGGATTATTTTTATAATTGCACTGCCCTTGTCTGTTTGTAGTACTTAAAAATATGGTCATTTATCATGTTTGGAGGAAGGAGGGGATTATATTAATAGTTATATTTCAGATACTCCTATCCCACCATACACCTTCCAGTTCCAAATTCAAGTGAGATTACTTATTTTACATTATCCTTCTTAAATTCCTGGAAACCATTCACTGACTATGAGGGTAATAGCCCCCCTTTTCTCCAAGACTGGAGAAAATATGTGCTTATCATAGCTGGCAGAGAGTGATTAAATATTTATAAGTTGTATTAGGAACCTCTTATGATTTGTATAAAGGCTAGGAACATTTATTCTAATTTTTTTTTAAATCTACACTTAAATAGTATTTAAATACTATTGACATGTAAAAATAACCATTGCCTTTTCTCCTAAATTGTACTTTAGCTAGTTTAGAATATTTTTCAAAAGGTAGAACCTGCAGACTTGCCAGAATATGTGTTCTTGAGACATAATTTCACAAGGCTTCAAAACCTAATGAAAAGCAACAGTATACGTATACAAGCTTTATAGTACAGGTAATCCTTGCTTGATTAGCACAATTGGGACTGACAACTGCTAAATTTGTTAAATGTGTTGTGAGACATCACATGACTATGATGAGTTTATGACATCACCTGTGGTGGTTATTAAGCAAGACATGTCTGTGACTTGTAATTTTACTGCTGGCTTCTTCCTTGATTCTGTTATTGGAAGCCGCTGTGAAGTGTGCAAATGGTGATCAGGTCACTGCAGGATGTTATAATGGTTGTAATCACCCGCCAGTTGTGAAGCATCTAGATTTTGAACACGTAATCCAGGCCTGTCAAACTGGCGGCTTGCAGGCCAGATGGGTCCCATGCAGGCCACGCCCACCCCCGCTCTGCAAAGGCAAAAAATGTCGTGATATGTCATGTGATGTGATCGACATCCGTGACGTAAGCCCAGAGAAGGTTATGACAGTTGTGAAGTCTGATGGTAGTTTTTCAGCACAGTTGCGAACCAGAGCTGTTGTCAAGAGAGGATAATATAATGTAATATGTATATGTGTAATGTAATTTAATATGTGCATATGTAATATAAGTCCTGCTTGTTTATAACTTTAACATCTTGATCTTGGGTTGTTAAATAGCATGTGTCCTGTTCAGTTTTTAAAGGGGAAAAGAAAAATTCTATATTCATTATTTCTGTAAAATTGGATTTTTTTCCCTGTTAGCTGTCAAGCTCTAAAGTTACTTCTGCTAAAGTATGAAAATCAAACTAGCATGTTTTCCAAGTAGATTTACATACACATATGTAGGAACTACATATCCAATATATGTAATTGAAAGTTGCGGATTTAAATATATAAATACATAAACTTAATTTTGAAATATATAGATTTGTCAACTGAGATCCATGATTTATTTACTGTGTTTTTGAAATGGCAGTGAAGGATTCATAGTAATTATAAGATATGGACAGACACACAAAAAAAGAGAAATGGCTGCTAATTGAAAGTCTAGGCATACATGAACAACATACGTTAGCATAAATTACAGTATTCATCATGAGTGAATCAACTGTTGGCTAATACACAAAAGCCAAATTAATGGATTTTAGAAGACTTAACCTTGCATGTTTTTATGGTTGTGACAAAAGAGATTGTACTAAAAATATTTGATTTATGTGTTGTCCTCTAGGATCGTATTGGTCGCCCCTCGGAAACAGGTATAATTGGCATAATTGACCCAGAGTGCAGAATGATTGGACTAAGGCTTTATGATGGCTTGTTCAAAGTGATTCCTTTGGAGCGAGAAAATAAAGAATTAAAGGCTTTTAACATTCGACTAGAGGAGCTACAAGTTATTGATGTGAAATTCCTCTATGGCTGCCAGGCCCCGACCATATGTTTTGTTTACCAGGTAACCAAATTGGATCTGAATGTGTGTTGTAATAAAATTGCTGAGCTAGTGGGGACAGGGTCTAAACATTATTTAACTTATCTGTTAATTATAAACAACCAGTGAGTTGGTTCATGGGGGAAAAGAAATCCCAGAATCTTTAGTAAGGTAGTATTTATTTATTTTCTTTCTTTGTTGCTAGAACAAACCAAATTGGTGCCAAAGTATTTGAATACTTTGGAACTTATTGAGTTAGGTGTTATCAAAAACTGAACAAAATGGGATAGGAAAGAAGCAGAAAAATCCAAAACCTAAATCAGGAATTTCAGTGATGTGGTTTGCCATTTAAAATCAGTCTCAGGATGATGCTTGCAGACCAAATGTGCTTTCTATAGACAACTGTTGTCAATCTTAGGTTATATTACCATTTAGGTAAAAAGAATAATAAAAATTTTCAAGCATTGTTTTCTTTTCCACAAACATTATTTTGATTTATTGACATTTTTGACTTTGTATTACTATAACTCTACTAGCCCATGACTTAAGGGTTACTGATTTGATTCAGTTGTAATAGTTTTAATCTACAAGCAAGTTTTTGAAGTTAAAATGATTCAAATAATTTTCCTTTAATGTGCAAAGCTGTTAAGAACTTTTCCTGATTTGTTACATTTTTGTTTTTCTGTGATTTTCAGTTACTATTTGGATATTACTATTTATATATGGATAAATATATAACTTATCAATTCCATCAGCAACAATATTGTTCAGAATTGGGGAAATGCTTTATTTTGTGGGAGAAGATTTTGTGGTTGTTAGGTTTTGAAGTTGCTTTTAATGAAAGTGCATCTATATATTTTTTCAATGCATAAACATTATAAAAATAGAAATGTTTCAGGAAATGTTTGATTCTTGAACATTCATATGAAAATGATTCTTCTCATATGTTAAATGGGGATAACTAAACAGTGATTGGTTTGTGTTTAGTAGTTTACTTTCCATCCCTCAAGGATCCACAGGGCCGTCATGTCAAAACATATGAAGTGTCTTTGCGTGAGAAGGAATTTAACAAGGGACCTTGGAAACAGGAAAATGTAGAGGCTGAAGCCTCCATGGTGATCGCAGGTGAGTTTGTGTCTAAAAAAATACTTCTGCCAGCTAATAATATAATTATAATTATTTAGACATAAAAATCAGCATTTTTAAAAAAAACTCCCTAGACTGTTTTTAAGCCACTGTATTAAACTTGCACCTAGAAAAAAAACCCCAGTTCTTTTTTGGATACAGGTGTGGGGCAATTATATAAAAGTTTCATTGCCCCAGGTTCTCAGGCCCAGAATAGTTATGTAACTTGAGTAGTACCTATCATGAAAGTAGTGCTGCCCAATGATAACTACTTGCCAGGCTCAGGTTGTTTTGTAATCTTAAGAATCCATTATTGCACAGCTGCACTTTTTGGACTAAATTATGCTGGCAGGAAAAACTTAGGAATTATAATATTCAAGGTGATTGAGGATTTAATATAAAACAAAAAAATGAATAGAGAAACTTATAAGACACAAAAGTTTGTGTATTTTAAAGACAGATCTATATTTAAGTTTACCAGATAGCTTTGTGAGAAAAAGACCTGCTTTCATGAAAATCTGAAATTTATTGATTTATTACTATTCATTTATTTGTAACCACTACCCAAAATCAAGTTAAATGGCTGTTTAATTTGCTTGCTTTTAGCGAGTAAAGAAACAGAAAACTGTTTCCAAAGTATATAATAAAATATGGTTAGGATATTGACTCTCTGAATTACTCCTAATAAACAATAGTATATTTTCATAATAAAACTATTTTATTACATTGAAAAGTGGCTTTTTTCTGGTGAACAAGAAATTCTGTGAATATAAACAGCAGCTATTGAAATTTAATTTAATACACTTTGTTTAGCTGGTTCGTATTCCTTTCCTGTATTGATTATTCTTTATGGATCTGAGATGAATATTCCCAACAATTTCTTTGTAGTGCCTGAACCATTTGGAGGGGCCATCATTATTGGGCAAGAATCCATTACTTATCACAATGGTGATAAATACTTGGCTATAGCCCCACCTATCATTAAGGTAAGCAGCAGAACACCTGGAAAGATATTTGCTTAAATCTGGAATTCTGTGCTTCATATTTACAGTAGGTTTAGTATGGATGTAAGTAAGCAGGTACATTCTAATATTTCTATTCTACTATTCTTCTACATATTCTACTATGTCTGATAAGTCCCGAACAAATACGATTTGTATAATTTATGCAGCATCAGTTTGCTTTAAGTTTAAACATTTATTAAGGCTGAAACTAAATTTACTTTAGGTGTTAGGCATTTTTACTGTATTTTAACTGACATTTTAAGTCTGTCCAGAATTGTTAGCTAGCCTTAGAAATGGAAATTATAAATAAATGGGAATTACTGTGGCCACATGGACCTACATTAACTGCTCTTTGCATTGTCTCTGTAGTTTCTTAGAATAAGGGTAGAATCTTGAAAATGTGTTTCATGCACACTCAAATGGCTGTTCTGTGAATTTGGCCAAACATAGTACGTATGTTCATCAGGAAGCAAACTAGGGAAACTGTTCCTTATATCTTATAGGATACTTTTTTTTTTTTTTTACTATAGCAGCTTACTCTTTCTAATCTAGAGGAATAAAAAAATTGTTTGGATCAATGTTAAGATCATCCTGCTTTTTCAAAATACTTTTTTCAAATACTTTTTTTTCTGAAACAGCAAAGTACAATCGTATGTCACAACCGGGTGGATCCAAATGGGTCCCGTTATCTGTTGGGGGATATGGAGGGTCGGCTATTCATGCTGCTTTTGGAGAAGGAGGAGCAGATGGATGGTGGAGTCAGCCTCAAGGATTTGCGTGTGGAATTGCTTGGTGAGGTAGGTTTTGTTTTCTCCACTTCTGGAGCATCTGGTGTGTGATGTCAGCTGGAAGAAGAACTAGAAGAGTGGGAAAAAATTCCTGCAGATACCAGAAGAGACTTAAGTCCTTCCCAAATACTATTTTTTTGAAATTGTGCTGCATTAAAATAATAAAAAAACTGGTGTTCAGAAGCATTTTTAAATTTTGTAATAGAGGTTTACATTTCATGATTCATAATTGGAGGGCTATATCCATCATTGATTATTTTTTCTGCAGATCTAAGTTTTTACAAAATTTCATTTATAACATCAATTGAATATGCAAGTACTCCTCAACTTAAAACAGTTCATTTAGTGCCGTTTAACTGACCGGCACTGAAAAAACTGACATGACTATTTTTCACAGTTACAACCTTTGTAGCATTCCCCATGATCATTTGACCAAAATTAATACAGTTGGCAACTGACTCACATTTATGACAGTTGCAGTGCCCCAGGGTCATGTGATCACATTTTGCAACCTTTTGGCAAGCAAAGTCACTGGGAAAGCCAGATTCATTTAACAACCAGGCTATTTACTTATTAACTGCAGTGATTCACTTAACAACAGGCAAGAAAAGTTGTAAAATGGGGCAAAACTCACTTAACAAATTCTCACTTAACATAAATTTTGGGCTCAATTGTGGTCATAAGTCAAGGACTACCTGTGTACCCTGTCTTTCCACTGGCAAATTGTGTCTCAGAGGACATTAAAATTAGAGTACACATTGAATAAAAACTGATTCACCAAAAGCCACATTGGACACTTTTCCTCCCAGTGGAAACATGAAACAAAGCAAACTTTGACATCATCCTTGACCCGTTCAGAACTGGAGCAGAGCCATCTCTTGTATTCTCACATGTGGCTCTCTGGTGGTGATAGCATCAAGAGAATGATAGCTCACATCTGGGTTAAAGCCCAGACCTAGGACTGCCTTCAAAGGAGTTTAAAGAAAAGTGCTTAATTTGATGGCAATTTGATGTACCAAATAGGGCCGAGAGAGAATGTCATCTAAAATCACTTACAGGTTTTCATACGTGAGGGATAAGTCCCTACTTATGACTAAGACATATTTAATTATGTTTTGTTGTGGCAATGTATGTTCATTGGATACATTTAAATATGTCTTCTAATGTATTAGGTGCAGTATGTGCAGATAATGTGTGTGCAACTTTTTTTTTTTAGTTTTATAGAATTTTTATTTTTAAATCTACATCAGTATCAATACATGAACAGTGTGGCTTCTGGGTATAATTCATTTTGTGACAAATAATAATAGCATTAATAATATTTGTTACATTAATCAAACTTGTATAGTCCCATTATTAATATATGTATTTATTTTATAATAATTATTCAGTATGTCAATGTTCCATTTTAATGCCAATAGTAATATTATTTAAGCATACATAGTAATACCATCCTTTGACCGCTATCTTTCCATATTTCCATCTAATTATTAATCGTATTCTATCATATAAAAATTATATAAGTTAATATTCCCCCTATTTATTATTACTGCCTCTATTGCAAATTCTAGTTATGTCATCATTACTTATCCTAGTGTTAATACACATGTTTATATTAAGACATAGTCCTTCATTATTGGTTGTTCAATATTTCAATATGCTATTCTAATGCAAATCATATTATTTGGGCATACATAATAATACTATCTATCAACCTCCAATCTTTCCATCTAACTATTATGTAAAAATGTGTATTCTTATTTCTATCTCTATTCTAGTTTTTCATCAGGCCATCATATTAGAAAAGGAGAAGAAAAAAGAAAATATTTCCTTTCTATCCATTATCTCTTGCTCGTTTTAATACTTTAATCCTTATTCATTTTTTAAAACTTGCCTCCCATAGTCCTTTCTTGATCTTTATTTCTATTAACACCTACGTCTTCACCATTCAATCTGGGTATTTCTCCCATCTCTATCCTCCTAAGATGCCAGGTCTCCAAAATATCCACCCATGTCCTGATCTCCCTTTCAAAAGTATCTTCCAGCTTATCAGATTCCATTTTTAAAAGTACTGTTTAAAGAACTTTTTCCTTGGTTTATTTCATCAGTCATTATTATTATTATTATTGTCATCTTCTCCTTCTCATCTTCTTGTTTTATTTGCTGATTTTTCTGTTCTAATTTTTCCTCTGTTCTTTCTGTTATCTCCTCTTTTTCTTGGATTCTTTGATCTTCATTATCAGTTGTAAGATATTTTCCATTTTCCCATTCATGCCTTGCAATAAATTCTGTGTTTCTGTGTATTCTTTGTCATAGCATCCCCAATGTCTTGAAACATCAACACCATTTCTCCTGTAGTCCCACTCATCTCCCCTTGGTAAAGCCTCTTGTCTTGTTTTAATAAGTACCACTCTTATCAACAGTCCAGAAATCAAATCTGAAGTTGCTCCTCAGAATATTCAATAATAATTCTTTACATCTCAGGGTTATTAATCCATTCCATAGATAATCCAGGCAACTTTCCAAAAGACAAATCACTTTACTTTCTTTAAGAGTCTTATTCTCACAATAGAATCTCCAGTAATCATGAAATAGATATTTGTAGAACAGTAAATCACCACAATCCTCCAAATAGGTATTGATTGATTGTCCTATCAAAAATTTCCCAGTCTTGTTGGGGTATGGTATGTTTTCCATTCACCAGTAGACGGTGCCCTCAGCTTAGGTTTCAGCGTTGTTTCAAATCTAACAAATTAATTAATCCACATTTTAATTCAGTTTATAAAAGCAAAGTCGGCTATTCAGGTAAATAGTTCCAGCATTTTATAATGCCTTTCCAATATAACGCCTAGCCAGTTTAAACAATCCAATTTTCTGTTATTTTTTTAAAGAAAGTCTTTAGCTTTTCTCCCCTTAATTTCTTTCTTTCGGATCTAGGATTTTTCTCTCTATGGTTATTCACCACTTCTAACAGATAGTTCTAAAGTCTCTTTTCCTGGATTTTCTCTCTTTTTTTTCCTTTTTAAGGTTAGGGTCTAAATAAAAAAGGAATCTTGTCACCCAGCTCCAGTCACTGTTCATCTACATTGGTCCTGCACATTTTCTTAGTTGCCTCGGCTGTCCCAGCTTCATGGCAGCCATGATGGCTGCCTCTTCTCCTTGTCATGGATGAGAGAGATAAAGCCCTGGGTTGAGCGATTCTGCGACTTGCAGGATGCCCCTCTTTTCTTCACCACCCCACAGGGTGGCTTTAGCTCCTTTTGGAGCCCTCCAATGGGGAGATGTTGGCGTGGGAGCGCGGAGACCCACTCTTCACGTCCGATCCCGCTGGGACATCAACTGGAAATCTGTATGTGTGCAACTATTGACATTCAAAGTCAGAAGCATGTTTGAGATCTAGGCGTGAGTACAGTCACTGCACTTGTCAGGAGCTTCTTAGAGAACCCACAACTTTTCTTGGCCTTGCATAATAGCTGCACAATCCCAGGAATACACATCTCTGAGTAAGGAGCTGCCTCCATATACATGAGCATATCCATGCCAAAATATCCTTCCTGCTTTGAATTTAAATAGCTGCACATCCCTATTATCATGTCTTTAAAATGCCTAATATCACTCATTTTGCCTTACTTGTTCCTAGACATCCATAGCAGAATGCCTGACATATTTGGACAATGGTGTTGTGTTTGTTGGCTCTCGTCTTGGGGATTCCCAACTTGTGAAGGTAAAGTGTAGCTTTTAATTAATAATTAGGTAGCAAAAAATAGTAGTTTGCTAATCTTTTACTTATTATTTATTTAAATGGCATTGTTGTGAGACCAACGACAAATTCCTTGTGTGTCCAATCACAATTGGCCAAGAAAGAATTCTATTTTATTCTCTTTGTATTTGTTCATTTTATTTTGAAATAAAGTAAGACAAAAACTGGAATTTTAATACATTTTTGCTCAAGTAGTTCAGATAAAGAAAATTTAAGCAAACAGTTCCTTATTTTCACAGAAACATAATATTATTTTCATTCCTAGCTCAACGTGGATAGTAATGAACAAGGCTCCTATGTTGTGGCCATGGAAACCTTCACCAACCTTGGGCCAATTGTGGATATGTGTGTGGTAGATCTTGAGAGACAGGGTCAAGGCCAGGTAAAAGTTGATTCTTCTTTCCCTGCACCAGGAATAATGGATCTTGCTAAGAGAGGTGCTTTATATCCCCTTTGAGATCCTGCTTTGCAATAATATATCTTCCCCAAGTTGATCTGTGTGATGTATATGAATCTCCTCTGTTGAAAAACCCAACCTATTCTCTCTCACCAAATTTGTGTGTTAGGAGGAAGTTGATAATTAGCTTCTTGCTGAATGCTGTTTGTGAGCTCAGGTCTGCCCATTTTAAGCTTGATGTATTTTTAGTATACGACATGGATTCTAGTAAATCTGATAATACCTTGGAAAATTATTGTTCTGTTGACTCTTGAAATAATACAGTGCAAAGGCTATTTCGGAGAGCTAGAAAGGCTAATTTTTCTGGCATATACATTAAATTCTGAAATAATAATGCAGAGTCATTTCAGGGAAGTTCGTGCTTCACTATAGGAATGGAACTGACTGCAGGATTTTGTCTTAATGAACATTTTTGATTAGGTAATTTACTAACAGATTGAGGAAAACTTCTTAAAGGATGGACGTGAATTACTATTCTCTATAATTACATTGCATCTCCCTTAAACTTTAATAATGTAATTAGTATATGCTAACTATACCTGCTTTTCACAGCTGGTTACATGCTCTGGTGCCTTTAAAGAAGGTTCTCTGAGAATCATCCGGAATGGAATTGGGATTCATGAACATGCCAGCATTGATCTCCCAGGGATTAAAGGTGCGTGTGTGCGTGTGTGTGTCTCCATTAGAAGCAGATATTGAACAAATAATAGTGCACACTATTACCAAGGTTGTCAAATCTCAGATTTTTTGAATGAGCTTTTTTTTTAATGTGTGTTAATCCTCATCAAATCTTAGAAAACTGAATATATTATTTAGGAAATTTTGGGGAGGAATCTTGGCAGCCTTTCAGAAAAAGGATTTGGATATTTTGTATGTGTGTGCATTCTATTTTTCTCCTCCCCCTCTTTGGTATATTATTATGTCTTCTCTTTTTCTTGTTACGTATTCTTGCTGTTATTTACCTTTTTGTTATACAACCCAATCTGATAATCTTAATTTTTGAAAGTACAATATATTTTACTTAGAAACAATACCAAATTAGTTGAATATGTTGTACAAGGCCAAGAGCTTTGAATTAGCATTGATGAAACATTGATGATTCAGAAAGTGTTGGGTTGGTATTTTTATTTGTTAAGTTATGAAATCCCTTGAGTTTTCCAGAGTAATTTAATAAGACTGCACTTTGTCTCTGAATTGCAGGATTATGGCCTTTGAGGTCGGACTCTCACCGTGAAACTGATAACACCTTAGTGCTGTCTTTTGTGGGACAAACCAGGTAGAGGAATAACATCCACGAAAGTGTTGAATATGGCTCTTGGTTAGGTCTTCTGGGGAGTTTGATTGGGCTTTCCTACATTTTGCAGAGTTTTGATGTTGAACGGCGAGGAAGTAGAGGAAACAGAACTGACAGGATTTGTGGATGATCAGCAGACTTTCTTCTGTGGTAATGTGGCTCATCTACAGTTAATCCAGGTAATCTCTAAATATTTTTAGTGATAACAATTTTTAGTGATAAAACGTAAGGCATGAGTGAATAAACCTTTGGGATAAAGAGCCACATTTGGAACATAGAATATGTGAGGGTGTTCTGTTCAAAACAATGTTATTTTGTTCATAGTAAACAACATAATTTTTCTTAAGAGCTAGTAATTTTTTTTAATGATTTTTTCCAATTCATTTCAATTTAGTCAATCTTAAAATTAAACATGGTGGATTGCATTTTTAAAAAATTGTAGAAAGCATTATATGTGACGTAGTCACATATTCTAATGCCTAAAGAATATGTTACCTTTCGGTCAGGAAGAAATACCAATGGATGTTATTTGCCTCTTTAGATAACATCAGCTTCAGTACGGCTTGTTACTCAAGAGCCGAAGGCTCTGGTGAGTGAATGGAAAGAGCCAAATGGGAAGAACATCAGTGTTGCTTCCTGCAATAGCAGTCAAGTAGTGGTAGCTGTGGGGAGAGTGTTGTACTACCTGGAAATCCATCCGCAGGAACTCAAACAAATAAGGTCAGTCTGAACTAACTATTTTGGGGATATTTTGTGTCAGAGCTGAATATTGCTATAATGTTGACAGTTTAATATCTTGCCAGCTTTACAGAGATGGAGCACGAGATTGCCTGTCTGGACATCACTCCCTTGGGAGACACCAATGGCATGTCCCCTCTTTGCGCTATTGGCCTTTGGACAGACATTTCAGCCCGTATTCTTAAACTGCCCTCATTTGAACTGTTACACAAGGAGATGTTAGGAGGAGGTAGAAATTCCATTTATATGCTTGGTGTTGGGAAGGGCAAGCTAATTGCAAGGAGTGATATTACAACTCGTATCCCCCTTTACAGAGATTATCCCACGTTCCATTCTGATGACCACCTTTGAGAGTAGCCATTATCTGCTTTGTGCCCTAGGAGATGGGGCCCTGTTTTATTTTGGACTGAACATTGAAACAGGTAAAAATACAGTTTTCTGCCCTGCAGAATTTCTTTTTTGATTTCAAACAATGAACAGATTGCATGCCCATCAGGTTTTAGCAGAACTCAAAATCCAGCAAATAGAGCTTGACCCAAAAAATACAAGCAGGAATAGAAGATCTGAATTCCAGAAATCTCTTTGAACAGAGCTAAATCATTCCACATCAAATTTACTGTTTTTTTACTTCAATATATTGAGGCTGCAAGGAAGTGCCATACAGTAACTGTCATTTCCTGGTTCACACATTATATCAATTTATAATGTAATCTGGTTGGTTAACTCATCTGATTATGACTTACTGATGAAATAATGATTATGGGAAATTAGACTAATAGAACTGGCCTATATCTTCTTATCATTTAGCAACTGCAATTCATTCCTTAAAGCGGAAGCGAAATGGTTGCTAAATGAATACAAGACTGAGAGGGAGGGAGGGAGGAAGAGGGAGAGAGACGGACGGATGGACAGACACCCTGTGAAGATCACTGGTTGCTGCCATCTCTTTCAGATAGTTTTCTTATGTAACTTTGCCAGCTCTGGTATGTGTTCTGGTCAGCTACCCAAAATTTGGCTGTAAGTGTGTGCATTGTTTAGAAAATGAGTTTTTTTAACCATCACATTTGCAAATGATTGCTAAACACATACCTGTTTCCATTTTGTCTTTATTCAAGAAAAATAACTCAAGTTAGACACCAGGAGATCCATGATTTGTCAGGGTTTAAGAGTAAGACCAGCCGAGGATATATGAATCTTATCTCCCTGAACCATTTTTCAATTCTAAAACAAGCCCACCCAGTATCCAGAAATTATTATTGGTTCATGGAGAAAGAAAACAGGTGTGCTGTACCTGTATAGACATATAGCTGTATTTTGGGATGCCCTCTGTCTTTCAGGAATAGTTTTAGTACATTTAAAGTGCTACCGGAAATATACTTTTCTAAAATACAAAAACGTTTCATTTTTTTCAGTAATCAAAAGTAGCCACAAAGTGACTAATTTGTCCTGCTCCCCTCTCATCTTCTAGTCTCTCTTAGTGGGTAGGCTCTAATAATATCCTTCCTCTGGCAGGTTTGCTGAGTGACCGTAAAAAAGTAACTTTGGGAACCCAGCCCACTGTTTTAAGGACATTTCGCTCACTTTCCACCACCAATGTATTTGCTTGTTCTGACCGCCCTACCGTGATTTACAGCAGCAACCACAAACTGGTCTTTTCCAATGTCAATCTTAAAGAGGTGAATTATATGTGCCCTCTTAACTCAGATGGGTACCCTGACAGGTAAGTGTGTTTGGTTCCTTTGTTTCAAGTGACCAGTGGGTCCACAAAGCGTAGTATGCTCTCTTCCTGCTTAGCCAGTCTGGTCAACTCTTTTAATTAAGTAGCCAGCTTGTCTCATATAAAGAACACAAAAATAAGCAATTTACTTTTGAAATGTTGGGATTAAGAGAATAGGGACAAAATGTTAGGCAGTTCCAAAGTAACAGAAGAATTGCTTACATTGTATCCTTCCTCTTTTCCCTTTTGCTGATGCATCCTGGCTAATGTGTATAAAATTGTCATACACCCATTGTGTAATAAATATTCAGCCAGTTTTATATCTTCATGTAAGAAAGGACTCTTCTATTTTATCTGTATTTGATATTTATTTCTGTGTTGAATTTTATGTAGTAATGCCATGAGAAACTTTTTGAGCGGTCATGAGTTTTATCTTCCATTATGCTAGTTGCCAAGTGATGATCACTAGGCAGGAAAAGTGGGATTTCCAGTAAATTATTTTTCAGTGTCTCAAGTCCCCTGTTCTAGAATAGGTTTGATTGATCTAAAATAATACTCTCCAGAAATACGCTGGAGGTTCCTGATAGAATTGGTGAAACGGTAACTTGCATTTAGGATTGTAGGTGGAAACATAGTTGTGAAGATAGAGATTGGTTGTGATCAACACTAGCAAAATTAATCCATCTGTAATTTATTGAAGGTTAAAAATTCGAAAGAAGTTAAAAAGGCTCCTTTTTTGTACTGCAGAAGGAAGCTGTTGGAAACAAAATCAGAAATATACTGCACCCACCATAAACATACAAACCTTAACTCTTGTCTTTGTCTGCTCTACCAATATATGAGCTGTTCTCCATCTATATTTTCTCCCTTGTATCTTAATGGCCAGATGCTCCTATGTATACTTGATAGTTCATGAAACAATACTGGTTTTGACATATATTTGCTGCAGGTTTTGTTTTGTTTTTTGTTTTTTTACATTTTCACTTCTGTCAAGTCTTGCTAAGTACTGTATAAATCCTAATATTGGATTATTTCTGAAATGTAGTAGGTAAATACTCTAGAATTGAGAGGTATAGTGGAGTGATTTTTTTCTTGAAAATGAAATACTTTTATTTTGTAGCTTAGCTCTGGCCAACAACAGTACTTTGACAATCGGCACCATTGATGAAATTCAGAAACTGCATATTCGCACTGTTCCCCTTTATGAATCACCCAGGTGAGCAGAGCTAGCCTTATTGCTGAGAATTCATCAGCTTTTAAATAATGTAACTTTCCTCCTTCCTTCCTTCCTTCCTTCCTTCCTTCCTTCCTTCCTTCCTTCCTTCCTTCCTTCCTTCCTTCCTTCCTTCCTTCCTTCCTTCCTTCTTTCCTCCTTCCCTTCCCTTCCCTTCCCTTCCCTTCATTGTGAGGATGATGGATCTTTTCAAGGAAGCATGCTTTTTGGAGCATTTTGAACTTATTAACATGGATGTTTATGAGTGAGCTGGCACCTAAATTGAATAAATTAAATATTACTTCTAATGTTTCTTAGAGCATATGGATTTTATATGCATGTGTCCCTTTCTGTCATGCAGAAAGATCTGTTATCAGGAAGTCTCTCAATGTTTTGGCGTGCTCTCCAGTCGTATTGAAGTTCAGGATGCTAGTGGAGGAACCACTGCATTGAGGCCCAGTGCAAGTACCCAGGTGAGAACCATCAATAATTGTGTTATATTTGTGTTATAATTTGATGGTATATTTATGGTAATTAATAAGTATTGGAAATGTAAATTTCTTTACAAGAATCTGTAAATATTTTCTATTTTTACTCTCTGATTATTGGTGTATATATATAGGGATGTTTTGGTGATGTTACACCGTGATAGAAAAATTATTATACATCTGTTTTTGATTTTTTTTTTATTTTTATTTTTCTTTTTTGAACTATAACAAAATGCTTTAATAAAATTTATAAAAAAAATAATTGTGTTTAGGAATGGCTTGAAAATGCACTGGTTTCAATAAAAGGAGTCACTATTGCTTAACATTATTATGTTTATAAATCATTTGAGAAATCATCTTCATTTCTCATCTGATAATCTAAACTTAAAGACGACTAGGTACTGTTTTGGGATAAAAATACATTGTGGCTCAGTTACATGTTGGGCTTTCTTCAGTGATTTAAATCCTTGCTAGCATCGTTTTCCATATTTACTTAGCTTTCTGCCTATCTTTTACGAGGAGGTCCATGTGGACTGATTTTCAGTACCTTCAATAAGCAGGAAACCTAGTAGTTTTATACTGGTACTTTAACATAAATCATCTTCCATTATTTCTTTCTCAGTCCAAATATGGTTTTATTCTTCATAAATTTGGCATTTCTGATGCAAACCTTTCTCCAAACAGTTTTTGCCACAAATGTATTTTTTTTAGTTATTTCATTCTAGTGAATGTTCTTTGGACTTATTTCTGTTATCTTTGTGTCTCTAGCTTAAAATGCTTACTTTTCTCTCCATATTTTAGGCCCTTTCCAACAGTGTGAGTTCTAGCAAGTTGTTCTCTAGCAGCACAGCTCCACATGAAACATCATTTGGTGAGGAAGTAGAGGTACACAATCTGCTCATCATAGATCAGCATACGTTTGAAGGTATCTACCTCATAGGCTGTATTTCACTGTTTATGAGAGAACTGTTTTGGGGAATCATGAGATTAGGAGAAGAGAGCCATCTAGTGTACTTGCTGACTTGGATCCCTTGAAGGTCCAAGGGGCCATGGATCATCTTGAGGGTCATTTTATTGAATTTCTGAAGGTTTTTGCAGTTGCGTGCTTTATCCACATTGTTCCAAACATTATATTGAAGTCAATATTTTGTTGAGCTCTTTAACACTTTTTTTTTTTCTGTTTGTCTTCAGTACTCCATGCTCACCAGTTCTTGCAGAATGAATATGCACTAAGCCTGGTCTCCTGCAAATTGGGCAAAGATCCCAACACTTATTTTATTGTGGGAACAGCCATGGTGTATCCTGATGAAGCCGAACCCAAGCAAGGCCGCATTGTGGTGTTCCATTATTCTGATGGTAAGGACTAACATTTTGGATCTCTTTCTCCCTAGAAACAAATGAGTTGCATGGACTTGTTTTCTTTTATTAATTATTATTTTGTCATGGAAAAAGTGGGTTTGTTCCTAGGTTCTTTTACCCTAAAAGTTTAGAATACTCTTTTCAGCTCCTGAAGAGCCATCTTGTTTGCGTCATATGGAAAAAAATAACCTGAACATCTGGTTTTTTAGAGTTTGAGTATTTAAATTATTTATAATATGCTGAAGTTACCTGGATGGCTTACAGTAATAATGGTAATATTAATATATGTTATAAAAGAGACCTAGCGGGAGATCAAATTAAATCACTGTAACAGCACCACATATCAAGGTCTGCCAAACAAGTAAATGGGTTTTTAAAATAAAAGTTTTAAAGTCTTGGAAAATAGGGGGAAAGTGTTCATTTGGCATTAACAAACCAGTCATTGTCGTCAGCCATTCAGTTATGTCCAACCCTTGGCTACTCTTATGGATCAGCACTCTCCATGCCCCTCAGGGGCGGAGCCTGCCACCGCTACCGGTTCGCCTGATCTGGGGCGAACCGGTAGCAACCCACCACTGATGCCCCTCTGTCAGGCACCGCCTACTTCAGATCCACCATGACCATCCTGGTGTCGGCCTTTATACTGTCCAGCCAAGGGGTACTACTAGGGCAGCCCCTTCTCCTTTTTCCACTAATCATTCTCAGCATCTTTGACTTTTCAAGTGAGTCAGCTTGCATGACATGACCGAAGTATGATAGTCTTTGTTTGGCAACCTTGGCTTCAAGTTATATTTTTGGTGAGATTTAGTATAGGACTTTGTGATTTTTGCAGTCCATAGGTTGTGTAATACTTGTCTCCAGTACCATAATTCAAAAGTGTCCACCCTTGTCCTATCTGTCTTTTTTAGAGTCCAAGTTTCGCAGCCATAAGTACCCTGTTTCCCCAAAAATAAGACCCTGTCTTATATTTTTTTTGAACCCTGAAATAAGTGCTTGGCCTTATTGCCATGTGCTCAAAAGCCCGATTGGGCTTATTATCAGGGGATGCCTTATTTTGGGGGAAACAGGGTAGGACTTGGAAAAATTATTGCAATGGCTGTGAATCTTGGAAAAGCACAGAATATTCATCAAAATAGCACTTTTAGCAATAGCTACCTATGTTGTATTGCTAAAAGGGAGCACAAGAAGAAAGACCTTAAACAATAATCTCAAAGTATGGTGAAATGGTCAAATAAAGAGATATAAATTCATTCTGATTCCTAGTCTCAGGAGCAGCCTAAGATTTTTGAGCCCTCCCATTGATCCTTTCACAGTGATTAGTTGCATGCTAGTTGAGCTAAGAAGTCTTTATTTTCATCTCATTTCACCTCATCAAGAAAATGGATAGTTCAGGTGGAATTACCCAGATAGTTTTATGACTGTTGAAGATGATGAATATTTTTTAAGCTAACAACTGACAAATATTTGGGATGATATTGAGTAATGTTGCAGAATGAGGAAAGAGACTTCAGAAAAGTAGGTAGAAGTTAAAACTATTATAGTTGTTACAGATTAAGTGCATATTAGGCTTTATTGTACGTTGTGTTATTGTCACAGAAAAAGATTATCACATAGCAACACATACTTGCAAATAGACTTTGATAGTTTACCCTGATTTTGAGGGGTAGAATTAACTCATTTTAGTCACTGTAACTATGTGGCTACTAAGAGTTGATACCAGCTTTGATGGTACATAATCATAAGAGAGCCAAGGAGTTTTCTGTCCACTTCAACATTTGAAATTTCCTGAATGCTTACAGCTCTGTAGGTGAGGCACCATCTTTATGAAGAACCCCTGGCTGAGGCGAGCATAAAGAAATTGTAACTGTTAAAAAAAGATAATTAAAGACCTCCCTGACATCTTGTACACCAATCTTTCTATGTCTTGCTCACGTTTAAGGTTGGGTATTGCCATATTTCAGAAAATAATTGGAGTTCACTTGCAGCTAGCATTTACATTTACTCTGGATCCATAGTGAGCAAAATGCCTAAATTAACTTCTGGAAGGTTTCATGATAGAATTTTAAATATTTTGTAATGTCATACATTTTATAACAATTAAGTTTATGCTGTAGAAAGCAAGGAGGGCTTAATATAATCCAAGGGGGAAGCTGCATTTCATGGCATAATATCAAGGTGTTTTTCAGGCTGTTAATCTTTTTTGTTGCTATTTGTAGTTACATACACCATGAAATGTAAGGAACCTGTGTATTTTTCAAGTAGTGTTGTATTAATGTGTATCCTAGGTAAATTGCAGAGTCTGGCTGAGAAAGAAGTAAAAGGGGCCGTCTATTCCATGGTGGAATTCAATGGAAAACTCTTAGCTAGCATAAACAGCACGGTAAGGTTTCCAAAGCTCTCACATCGATATTTCCTAAAACTGGGTTTGCTTAGCGAACTGTAGAAGAGAAATGTTTTGGACTCTGCAGTATTATTCCAGATCTGTTTTAGCCTTACCCGTAGAAATCTGTCTTGTTCTAACAGGTGCGACTGTATGAATGGACAGCAGAGAAGGAGCTTCGCACGGAATGCAACCATTACAACAACATCATGGCACTCTATGTGAAGACAAAGGGTGACTTCATTTTAGTTGGAGATCTTATGCGCTCTGTACTTCTGCTTGCCTATAAGCCCATGGAAGGAAATTTTGAAGAGGTAGTAATTCAGTTTTTACCTCAGTGTGTATAATGGAAATTGCAATAAAGAGAATAGAAGAATATTTGGTGGCAGAAGAAACTACTTGTTTGTGGGGTTTTTTTGTTTTTGTTTTTAAAGGTGCCTAGGTTATCTTAGGTTGGCCTCTCCATTTCACTCTGCATTTAAAACCATGCATTTAAAAGAATTCTACTTCAGGCCAGAAAAGTCTTATCTTTGTGGAGAATAGATTGACTTGGTAGGTAGATTGACTTGTATATCTTTACAGATCGCTCGTGATTTTAATCCAAACTGGATGAGTGCTGTGGAGATCCTGGATGATGACAATTTCTTAGGGGCAGAGAATGCATTTAACTTGTTTGTGTGCCAGAAGGACAGGTGAGATGACCTTCTAAAAAGGTAGGCCAAAGTGAGCAAATAATAGGTTGGGACAAAGGGTTCACCCTATCCTTTTCCTAGTAAACGTTTTGTATTGCAGTGCTGCGACAACTGATGAGGAGCGCCAGCATTTACAGGAGTTTGGGCTCTTCCATCTGGGTGAATTTGTCAATGTCTTCTGTCATGGGTCCCTAGTCATGCAAAATCTGGGTGAAACATCTACACCAACACAGGGCTCAGTGTTGTTTGGCACAGTCAATGGAATGATTGGTAAGGTTAGATATTAAGCCAGAAAATTTTGCCATCTCCCCATATAGTCTGGTACTCGGGGAGGGCTTATCTGGCAATAAAATAATATCTATCCTTTGTTTCCAAAGTGGTCTTAGAGTAAATAGATAACTATTAATTTCTTTTTTAAAATAATATTCTGTCTTTATTCACAGGACTGGTGACTTCTCTGTCAGAAAGCTGGTATAATCTCCTGTTAGATGTGCAAAACAGGCTCAATAAAGTCATTAAGAGTGTTGGGAAAATAGAACACTCTTTATATCCTTTATATCTTGTGTTTCTCTTACATAATATTTTGTGACATTAGCCATTATACAAGAACCATGAATAGTTCCTGCCTACCAGCTTACAATTTGCAGCACAGAACCAAATGGGTACAGTTCAGCAGTATGAATGTATTCGTTCCTCTTACATCTTTAGGAAAAACTAGGGATAGGATACTGTATTTCTAGTCAGAGTTATAGCTTATGTCCCTCTTGACTCCCTTAAAAAAATTGTTTTTGCAGATTGAGAACTCTCTTGACTGGAATATTTATGGGCCTTGGAGAAGTGGTAATACAACACCGGATTAAAGTGAGGACCATATTGGTGCTTTAGCAGTGCCAGTCAAAATAGTTCAGCTTTCTTTAGGAATTTATATAATAGCTGTAGATCACATATTTTGCTAGAATTTAGTCTGATTAATTATGGTTTATTAGATATAATTGACTGGATTGACATAATAAATTAAAATTATAAACCATTGTATACAAACTACAGGACATGGGTGAAATAGCTAGTCTATTTTACATTATGGATTAATATGTTGTGTGAACCACTCCAATAGCTACTTGCAAGACACTATAGTACATGGGTGTCAAACTCACCATGTAACCTTGCTATCACGTGACATTTCACAATGTTTTCCCCCTTCGAGGAGCTGGGGTGGGCATGGCCTGCATGTGACACATCCGGCCTTCAGGCCGCCAGTTCGACACCCTTGCTATAGTAGAATCTATCACAGGATGAAAAGAGTACTAAGCTAGTCTTCTATGAATTGTGGGTAATTTGAGGTACAATATAAAGGTGAATTATTGTTAAAACAACATAAGTGGCTATTATTTTAGGTTGGCAGAATTGTCATGTTTTGCTTTGAGGCTTACAGAATCAAAGTTGAAGACTTAGAATGGAAAAAATTTTTTTCATTGAACCTCCATACAGTTTACATGTTACATAGAGACTGGGCCAAATTCTATTGATAATTATCCATAATATTCCAGGTATATACTTCATAATTTCATTAAATCAAGTTCTCTTTCTCTCCTATGAAGTATTATTTTAAAAACTCGTAATATTGAAGAAAATTACTGTTTCAAGAGAATGTATTTTCTTTTCAGTTTTTGAAGTATTCATAATGGTGTTTGTCAATAAAATACCTTTCATTTGTTGATGGCCAACTTCAAAAAGATTATTACATGGGTAATAAATTCAGAATTTATTTTTAGTTTAAGGTGTGCATGTTATGCATGTCATACTGTGTTCCTGCAAGCATTATCTTCTGTGTAATATTCCATATGTCAAATATAATAAGTCATAATATGTCATAATAGATTTTTTAAAATATAACCAGTAACTCTGAGATTTGGAATAGTACCATCATTAAATAAAAAAATACTAAGGATTATTAAAATGTTTTCAATGTTTGCCTAAATTATACGGTTAATATTGAAATTATTTTGTTCTCCTGAAAAGCAACCTGACCTTTTGAAACAGTGTTCTTCTGTCACATGAGAATGCAATCTGTCATCTCTAGATGAGGATTGCTATTATGCTGGGGCTATGCAGTACACATATTGCTGTAATATTTGATTTTGACCATGAAGGCTGAAAATTCTCAAGATTGTAGTTTGAACTGGTCTGCTTCTATTGGATAATTGAGGAAGATTAAAAACTTACATTGCACTACTGGTTCTGTTCTGGGTAATACGTTAGAGGACAGTTCTTGCAACATACCATATTTTTCGGAGTATAAGACTCTCCGGAGTATAAGACACACATTAGTTTTTGGGGAGGAAAAGAAGAAAAAAATATTTCTGCCTTTGCCTATCAGCATCCATCGGTATTCATCTGGCTAGCGTCCTTGCAGCAAACACCCCTGTCAGCTTCAGCACATTATCACAGCCTGATTCAGCACAAGCAGTTGATTGGAGGTTGGATCAGCCTCCTGGAATACCGCCAATCAGCTGTTCCAGACTGCGGGGATTGCCACAGCCTATCGCCACCTCCACGCATTGTGTTTTTGACCTCCACGTGTTGCGTTTTTGGTCTCCATGCATCACATTTTTGGCCTCCGCACGCTCCATTTAAGACCCATTCCAGGCTGCTGGGATCACAGCACATCACCATCGATCTCTGCCAACTGCGCGTCACGTTTTTGGCCTACATGCGCCATGTTTTCGGCCTCCACACGCCCTGTTTTTGGCCTCTGCACGTTGCATTTTCAGCCGATTCCAGGCGGCAGGGAATCGGCCAAAAATGCAATACACAGAGGCCGAAAACGGGGCATGTGGAGGCGGTGATCGGCTGCGATGTGCTGTGGCGATCCCCGCAGCCTGGAGTGGGTCTAAAATGGGGTGTGCGGAGGCCGAAAACGTGACACGTGGTGGCCGAAAAAGGCCGAAGTGCATTTTATACTGCAAAAAATACGATACTTTTGTTTTTACAGTAAAGGTGAAGCCTTTTGCTGAGAGTTTTATTTCCTTGATTCTTGATTCTTGATTTTACCTGGAGATCATTTCATACAGAACGTAAGACAGAGCCAGCCACTGGATTTATCGATGGAGATTTAATTGAAAGCTTTTTGGATATCAGCCGACCCAAGATGCAGGAGGTGGTGGCTAACTTACAAGTAAGTTGAGAAAATTACCCACGTTGAGACAATCCTTGTTGTTGGCCATGACTTCGATTCTGTACTTGCTTATTTGAAATAAAGTTATGAACTTCGGTTTGCAGCATCAGGCTTAAGAAGAGATATATACGCTTCCCCTTCTGTCTGCCACACGACTTTGCTTCACCTCTGCCTCTTACCTCCTTGTTTCAGATTGATGATGGCAGTGGAATGAAGAGGGAGGCTACGGTAGATGACTTGATCAAGATTGTGGAGGAGCTCACCCGTATCCATTAGCTGAATGAGAAGAAACTTCTTGCACCTTCCTTCAGGATAGCATATGGAGTCTTTCCCAACTGGTTCCCTCACCAGTTTCACTGTAATGCTAGAGCAGTAGCAATGTGCCTGGATGAAAGTGGGAAATCTCTGAACTGAAGCCATCTTGCTAAGGACTTGCAAATGCAGTGTTGGCAGTTGACGACATTGTATTCTGCTTGGATTCACCATTCATCTGCCACCTAATAGTGGTCCCAGCAGGTTTTTCCCTCTGAGTAACAGCAGCTGGCAAAGATGTCCCTCTGCCTAGACTCTTTCCACCCTTCATTTGCTGTTGTCTTTTAGAACATCTGAATTTATTTTGTTCCTGGTGTTTTGAAGTGGAGATCTTTCCCTATACCCCTCCTTGTTTGGATGAGAAGGTGGCTAGATGGCTGCAGTGGCTGTTGGAGAGATGGAGGTGACATTTAGCTCGTATAAGGTGCTTTCAGGATTAGGGCTGCTTAATCTCGAGGAACCCAATTGTGGGTAGCAGCCTCTCTATTCCAACAGCTTTGCTGCTTATTCAGGGAGAAGAGACTAGATTGCAATTTTTTCTGTTATTGGTTTTGAAATTTTACCAAATAAAAGTAGTCCAAGAGGAAAGGTTTGGCTGTTGTCAAAATCTTTTCATGCTTTTCTGAACTCCTTTACTGAGGAGGAAAGAAATTTTGTTCTCTCATGTTTTATATTTCAACACTCCCATTAGTCTATCTATAGGGAACTGACTAGTCCAATTTCATTTTGTTTTTGTGTTTTCTGGTCAATAAGCTTGTAGAATTTTTTTAAGGGGATGACAATATACCTCGTTACCTCTTTTTTTTCTCATTCTTGCCAATAGGAAGCAGACTTTTAAGAAGTGGGTGATGGGATTTTGTTGTTGTTATTGTTGGATTGATAAGCACAGGGTCCTCATTTCCCATTGTTCTGCTGTCACATATTAAGAATTTTCATTCCCTTCTAGCATGTGAGAGTTAGAAAAGACTTTTTTGCATTGGATGTTTTACTCAAGTTTTCTCCCTTTTCTTTTGGTAAAAGCTTGTCCTGACTATTCTGTGATAAGACTTTATGGGCTGGGGAAAAGGCTCTTCTTCAAATTCACCCCACAAGTTCACATCATTGCATCACAAAATGCCAAAATTAGAGGGAAAATGCTTCACAATTCATTGATAAAAAGTTAAATGCACAGTGCAGCATGCCTCTATTGGATTTGGCTTCAACATTTTTTACCCATTCTCATGAAATCACTACATTCTCTTCTCAGTTGGAGGGACAGAGAAAACCTGATGTATGGTGGACTTTCAGTTCCATCCACAAAGCCTGGATGTTTGTTTAATGTGCAGATGGGGATGGGGTTTATTTTGTCCTTCAGGGTTTTGAAAGCATTTGAGCAAACCTTAAGGAATTATAAAAATGGAAAAACAACCCATAGTTCTTTGATTTGCTCAGCAGAGGACAGAATATTTGTTATAGGTGGTTCTTGACTTATGACATTCAATTAATGATGATTCAAAGTTACAACGGCCTCAGCAAAAGTGACATGACGTGTACTCACATGACCATCATGCCACTTCCACAGTCATGTGATTGCAATCCAGTCGTGATTGCAATCACAGTCATGTGATTGCAATCCACTTGGCAACCGGTTCCCATTTACGATTATACTTGCAGCATCCTGCAGTCACATGATTGCGATTTAATGACCCTTTTTGCTGATTTCCAGCAAGAAAGGCCCATTGGGGAAGTTGGACTTGCTTAAGCATCAAGTGATTTGCCTCACGACTGTGTGATATGCTTAATGACTGCCGTCAGTGGAAATTCTGGTCCCAATTCTTTGTTGTAAATCAAGGACTATCTGTAATATGTTGTAAAGGTCAACAACTTCTGGCATCTACAGCATGTACAGTGTGAAGCAGCGTCCTGTACAAATCTTATGTGCTAGGTGATTGTGCTCTCCCATACTTTCTAAAATCATGCCCCAAACATTGTTGATGCCAGGAGTTTAGATCTGTTGCTTATGTTGCATTTCACATCTGCTTAGATAAGGTATTAAGGCTTGTGTCGAATGCAACTAACTTTCTGTAAAATGGTATATTTTGCCAAAAGATAAACACTTGGAAAAAAAAGAATTTGGAAAAATATTTGAAACTGTTTTATACAACATGGAGGCTCCGTAATCATATCTTCAGCCTGTGATTCTAATGGCCAAGCTGCTTGGTAGAATGGAATACTATCAAAAAGCCTGGCTCTATTCTCAGGAGGAATGAGGACAGAAATTTGAGGTTTCAGAGATATTACGACTAACTGCATTCAGCATAGGAAACCTGGTATGCATGAATATTCAGATGATTGAGTGAGCATATTGGAGGCTTTTGTTAAAATTACAAAAGCTCTGTTGTGTGGTAATATACATACAAAAAGTGTGGTGTTTATCTCACAATGGCAGAATGCTACTTTCATTATTTGTCCCCCCCTTGTGGATGCCCCTGATTCTTATTTTATTGTGAAATCACAGTTGGGAAGTATCCGAAATGGGGAAAAAACATGCATGCCAAAACTGCTATTAAATGAAGGGGTCTATACATATTTTTGAAGCCCTTCGTCAATCTATATTGTGCTTGCCTTACATTTCCAAATGAATATGAGAGGCAAAGCAGTAATATGTAGTAAACATTGTACAATGTATTGAAATATGTTTCTGTTTTAGTACATTGAATTTCAGAGTGCAATTGATACAAAACATAGTCCTTTTTGATAGGATACTGATACACAAAATGGGAGAAAGAAAGAAATAAATTTCAATATTTGCATAGATGTGTGATTCTTAGAAAGGGGGAATATATTCATATAATATTACAAGTGAATCATTTTAAGAAAGAACTGCAATGTGTCACTATTTCTTTTTTAATAATTTTATTAAAATGTTACAATTAAAAAATGAATACAAACTTAAAAAAAGCTGCATATAAAAGAAAAAGAAAATTATAGTGAAAAATATATATAAAGAAATGACTTCACTCTTTATTACAACATGTAAATATTTTAGTAACTTATCTCCTCTTAAACTACAACAAATGAACTTTTCTTTCCATATCCCATTTCTTATCTACAAATGATCCTTAATGCCTCCTGGTTTAGTTGTGGTTAGCAAAAATCCATTAAGGGTTAACAGAGATAACAACATAACTTTCACCTTGATCAAATAAACCAACTTTATATTCCTTCTGTTTATTTTTAACAAATAACAATGAGATGACTGCGAAGAAATACAATCCTTCCACTCACCCCCACCTCCACCATCTTATTAAACCTTTAACCTTCTAACTCTCCACCATCCACTCTCAACTGTCAGTACCTATCCTTCCATCCCACCCCACCCTCCACATCAGAACTGATGAAGTTTCTTGGATGAGAAGTAAATCGTTTTCTTCCTCAAAGGAAAAAAAAAGTCGTCCAGTTGCCTTTTGAAGAAAAAAGCACTTTTGAGTTAGTAGAAAGCATTCTTAATATCTAGATGCAGTGAATCTGATACTGATGTTCAGGATTTTTTGATTCGAAGAGCTAATTGAGAGATTGCAGTTCACCTGTAAAAAACACAAGATCAGGACATTAGTATTGCTGAATGCTCATTAAGAAAAAATATAAATAAAAATAAGGTTTAATCCTTTAGGATTTATTTCTAGATGTGCATATGCATAACTGTGTCAGAAATCTTCCTGTTTTAGAAAGGCAGCTTGCTGTGTGTAAGATTCCCATCTCCTTGTTTACTTAATAACTACGGCAGCCTCAGAAGCACAGACCTTAAAGATTATTTCATCACCCAATTTTTAATTGGTATTCCCAGGGCCACTCTCCCCTGAACCTGTAGGTCAGCTGACCATACAAAAAATAGATACCTAAAATTGTAGAGCATTACAAACATCAAAAGGAGGTTTTCTTGAAGGAATCTTGGTATCCTTTTTCAACATGAACAAATGCAATTTGAGCTATAGGATTTTGTAGCCCAGGTAGCAGCAGAGTAAGCAAGTAAGTAATTTTCTCCTTGAAGCCATCAAACAGAATGATGCTGCTGTTTGTTTTCCTCCTGCTCCAAGAAACAATGTGACTTGTGAGAGTCATTGTAGTGCAAGTATAGCAATAGCACTTAGACCTATGTGTCACTCCACCGTGCTTTACAGCACTCTGTAAAGGGTGGGATGGGGACAGAAAGATGGTGCCAAGTGCTTTGGATGAGAATGAAAGCCATAGTGCTGTTTCCTTCTTGCTTTCTCTTGTGGTTTCCTTCTATATGCTTTTTGTATAAGATGTGAATTAAAGGTTTCTCAGATTTGGGGGAAAGTCTGATTCTCAAATTCTAGATATGTTCCATGTGTCAGTCTCTTTCTAATCTTCAGTTTGCCCCCCCCCCCCACCTTGCAATAATTTCACCTGCCATTCAAATACAGTTTTTGAAGGAGAGAGGAATAAATTCCCTTTCCTGCCTTCTTAATCTCACTAGTAGAACCAGGAGGCAAGCACTGCACTATGCAGGTAAACATGATGCATCCTAATTGGAAGAGAGCTCCTCCTGGTAATAAGAATCCAGAGTATATTTGATAAATGCAGTTTTATATATGAGAGAAATCAACAGAAAATAAGTTCGATGGATTAATCTTTCAGGCGGTGAAATAGAATAGATGGCCAAAAGATTTTTTTTTTCTTTTTGTAAAATAGTTTCATGAATTTGACCACAATCTGCAAAAGCTTACCTGAGAATAAGTCTTTTAGCCTCTAAAATGCTAAAAGACAATTGTTTCTGCAATAGGATTGTTAGTGCTTTGAACATTTCCAAGTTTAAGGGTTACGGAGGAATGCTCTGCATCATCTGCTAATCATAAAAATAAAACTTGTTTACATTCCCCAAGTTGCATAACCCTGATGAAGGTTGGTACTGGATTGCTTATTACCTACAATATAAGAGTTGTCTGTGGTGATAACACTAGTTGAGCCAAGAATGACTGTTTGGACAATTCCAAATGATACATTAGGAAAGGAAGGGAATTCTTGTTATTAGAGTGGAGGGTTGGGGGGGATGCAATCTCTGGAGGGAGAAGTAGGCTGCTGGTGTAATTATTGAGACAGCACAATAGTTTCCTTATGTCTACTGAGCAAGACTTGCCATTTTTCATGAAGGAGACCCAACTCCTGTGAGTTTAGTCTTTTCCCCTTGCCTGCCCCTTGAGAGAATCTATCTTAATTTTCATGCTTTTCTCTCTGATGAATTTCCTACTTGAACGTCTGAACTGGATTAGAGTGAATCATATTAATAGCTACAATTATTTCTGCTATGTGACAAGTACTATTTTTCTTAATGACGGCTATTAATGATTCTATTGAATATGCGCAGGCTAAGCTCTTTTTATGTGTTTTTATTTTTATTCAAACACATTAATGTGCACTGCTTGATAATCTTCAATCATGGAGCAGGCGTTACACTAAAATCTTAATGTTGGTTGCTTGGTTTTGACATAGTTGGTGTGAATCGCTGTCATTAGTAAACCAGGTTTAATGATTTAGCGTATCAGGATAAGGCAAGCATCGGTTATTCAATAAACCAAGCTTATGCAAACCCTACTTAACATGGACTGCTGGTGTTTCAGAACGCGGTTTTGTTCACCTCCTGAAGCAACACCTGTTTTTTTTTTTTTCCACCAGTGGAAAATCCGAAACGACAGCTGGGCAACTGAAGCGATTTTGGGTTTGTTTTGTTTTGTTGGTTTCTGCTTTTTCTCTCTCCCCGCTTTTCCCCTTCCCCCCTTCCGGCCCCAGCTTTGCAGCTCCTCTCTGGAACAAGGCCCCCAATGTATTGCAAGGGGCAGCAGCCTAGTCTGTTATTCACATCAGATGCGCCTCGGGTCCTCATCCCCCTCGGAGCCGCTTGGAAGCCTTTATCTGCCGCGGCTCCTCTTCGGTCCAGACGGGAAAGCAGCCCAGGGAGGGGGAAAGGGAGGAGGGGACATTCCACATGCCAGATGTGGAAAAGGGAGACTCCTAAAAAAAAATGGGGGTGGGGGGGGTCTTCTTAGTGCAGCAACAAAGCTGCTATGTTTTGAAGGGGCCTCCCCGGTTCCTTTGCTCTACGCCTCCCCGCCCCCCTCCCTCAGAGGGTGGGGCGAAGCGAGTATCCTTTTGTACACACGCACGCACGCCCTCGCACATACAGGCAATGTTCCCCCCCCCCGCCTCGGAACACCCGGCTGGGGAGCCCCGCCGCAATCTGAGCCTGTTGGTGGGGAGGAGCTTTCTCCCCACGCCGCGGCCGCTCCCCCAGCTCGCCAGCGCTGATCCTCGCTCCCCTCCTCTGCCCTGAAAGCGCCCCCGGCCGCCTCTTTGGTGGGAAGAGTCCAGACAGTTCAAGCCATGCTGTAGGGGGCCTGCAGGGAAAGAGAGGGGCGGGGAGGGCAGGGGAAGAGGCTTCGGAGGGAGCAAAGCATCTCTGCGGACTGGGAGACGCTGTCATGTTGGCCGGGCTGTTCTTCCAGGCTGCTTGGGTGGCTGTGCTCCTTCACGGCGCTCAGGGGAGAGTCTACACGGGAAGAAGGAAGCTTGCCAACTTCGCCGTAGAGAGGTACCCCTCCGCTGCCCTGGCCGCCGCCGCCGCCGCTAATATCCGTCCACCAAACGGGGACAAGCCTTGTCGTAGTAAAGCTACACTTCTCTCCCTCCTCCCCGCCACTGAATCCCCCTGAGGCTGACTGGAGAACGAGACAACGACGCCTCCTCGCCATCTCCCCCCCACGCCACACGAGCTAGGCAGCGAGCGCTTCCAGCGCTTTCGACGGCGAGTGCCGAGGGGGGGGGAGGAGGAGGCAGCGCAGGAGGGAGTCGGTGCCTTCTGGGGCAGCGTTGGTGTGCGTGCTGGGAGACGGCGGCGCTTGCTTGGGGAAGCGGGAATTGGCCTTCCTTCCTTCCTTCCTTCCTTTCCTATTTACTACTTGGTGTCTCTGTCGGCCATGCCCTCTCCAGCTTGGCAGAGTTCTGGAGGTGACCAAGTTGAGTTGAGCCTTGTGCTGTCCAAAGTTAAACCAGTCCAGTTAAACCAGTTTGCCAAAAGGACAAAAAAAAAAAAAAGTTGGCTACACAACTGAGGGACTGTGCTTGGAAGCAAGATGGAGGGGGCGGTGGTGTGTTTCCTTCACTGAACGCCCTGATTTCAGGATGCCAACTCGTCCCATGTGTTTCTGTGCGTCTGTGGCAATGGGCAGCTTGTTTCCGTAGATGCGCTTCTGCTCATGTTAGTGATGATGATTAGTTATTATATTTTAGTCTAAGGAAGAACTTCTGCTCCCATTATCCATGCCATGTGTCTGGATGTAGCCTTTTCTTCCTTGTGTGCTCCAAGTCCTCTTTTGTTCCAACAGTCTTGTTTCATTTTATTAATGCAGTTCGTAAAGTGGGTGCTCGGTTTTCTATTGTGTGAGAAGAGAACCTTATCCTGCAAGCCCACCAGGGCACTTTTCTATAGTTCATGAGCAACCTGAACGCAGCACAGGGAATGATTGCATCACTATTCTATGCATGGAGATAGTCCAACTGAGCCTGTGCAATGAGCAAAATAATCATTAGGCTTCATTGAGTGACTTCTCTGTTCTCTGGCACATCTTCTCTGGCACAAAGACTGTGATCATCTCTGGTCAACATCCACACCTCTGTATACCTGTCACACTTGTCACAATGTAACTTAATTCTTTTAGAGATGGAGGTGTATTATAAAGATAGCAATTGGCACAAAAACAAGCGGGTGGGGGAGGGGGAAGGAATGTACTAGATTTATTTCTGGTATGCTTAGCACCAATCACCTTCTCCTCCACTGGGGAATCTCTTCAGGGTCTTCTGACTAATTCTCCCCCAGGACTTTGTGAGCACAGCTGCCTCTTTCCTCCCTTCTTCCTGTCTTGGGTCATATAGGAGGATGTTATCATTTCCCTTCCTTTGTTCCACGAAAGCTTCCTGTAGACTTTTCTTCTCCATCCCTCTACTGGGAATTGACAGCTGCTCCTCACATTCATGTATCTTCACTCTCCACCTTTTCTCTCCAGCCACTCTGTTTTGCATCCCCTTTTTCCTCTTTCTTTCCTCTTCAGCAAGCTTTCTCCCCAACTTTGGGTCAGACTGGCAGCAGTACCCAAGCAATTGAGGAGATGGGGGTCGTTTCCCCCCCCCCCAGAGCTCTAGTCCACAATACCTATGTAGAAGCCTGAACCAATAGGACTTCTGTCTCAACATTTCCCTACAACAGTCCTGGCTGGCAGCCAGGTCAGCTCATCATCCTGCCCGACAGCGCAGCTGCACTTCAAGGCTAGAAAACGAGCTTCTTCTCCCCTGTTCTGTCTCCATTTGTTGGACTTATGCCAGCCCAACAGCAGCCATGCCAGGTCAATAAAAAACACATGCCCCAGTCTCCACGATGCTGGCAGCTTCCCCCAACTCTTCAGCATTGAACAGATGAACTTCCATCTTAGCTCTTACTCCAGAGGGAACTCAATGAAGACAGTTTGTAGCGTTTATTCTAATGCTGCAGGGTAAGAAATTTTGTATTGGTGAGAATTCCTGCCTTATCTCCCTCTTGGAATTTCTCCTACTCTCTCTGAAGCCAAGGCACCATAATGCCTTGCATTCAGCCCCTTTCACAGTGATTAAAAGAGCAGCTGCTTTCCTATATGTGCCCCCCCCCCCGCATAATTCTATAAGCTGCAAATGCAGTCAGGAAATGATGAGATGGGGTGCTTACCGAAAGACTGATTTGTTTGTTCCCCCAGCTTTTCTGTCCTTTTCTTTCCCTGTCCTCATCCTCTGTTGTCCCGGAGAGTACACACTTGCACAACAACCAGAGTAAGAAGGGTGAAGCTGGCGTGCAGGGTTGAAGTTTAATTTCTTAATTACTTAAGATATTACTACTAAGGATGAAGAGAGATGCTTACAATATTATCCCTCTTGTGTAAAAATCACTTATCTGGCTTTGGCTACTGTGGTCCTCTGACTAGGCTGGATAGGATATTATCTTTTGTTCTCCAAAATGTTTTGGACAGCCACCAAATCTAGCTACTATAAACTATTAAATTGATAACTTCTGCAAGTCTGTGTTCCTTCCTGCCAAGAAAGAATAGTTTCTCTATGTAATTTGATCCACTGTACCTTTCATCCAAATACTTTTGTTGTGTCTTGAACACAGCATCAATTAGATTTTTAGTCCAACATGCTGTTATGTTTTGCTTTGTGCCAGCACTGTGTGTCCCGCTAGAGAAGCTCTGTGGCTGGCTAAGAGTTGCAAATCAGCTTGCAGTTTGCACTTTATCCACAGTATTCAAATGCCTTTCTGCATATGTAATGCCCAATTACTATGTACAAACAAAAAGGGAAAAAGAGAAGGAAGGAAGGAAGGAAGGAAGGAAGGAAGGAAGGAAGGAAGGAAGGAAAGGAGGGAGAGAGGGAGGGAGGTTGGATCTCAAACTGCCTCTTTCATTGTAGACGTCGCATTGGACCACATATTTGTCTCTCTGGTTTTGGAAGTGGATGCTGTCCTGGATGGATACCATCTCCAGGGAGTGGACAATGCACACTGCGTAAGTTTCTAGAACTTGTGGCAAAATCAGCCAGCACTATATTATTACTTTTAATCTTATTAGCAAACTGATGCTCATTAACATTTTGCTAAAGGGTTATCATAATCTTAAGAGAATACACAAGGGGTTCCAAAGGAAGGCAGTCAGGGAACAACAACAACAGATAGTCCTGCAACTGATATGAACAGTAAACAGCAGAGCTGCCCTTTATGAGACAAGTAGGGCCAACATCCCACCATGCTATAGATGATTGCACTCCAATCATCTATACCAGATATACTGGTATATCTACAGTACCAGTAAAGTACTTAGCACTGAAGCTCAGCTTATAGATTTGCTTTTAAGGCATTTTCTTCTTCCAACACATCTGGGAACCCTAATTTTACAATTACTCTATGGATAGTCTTACCTACTTTTGATGAAGTGTTGCTTAATTTAGAGCTTAGAAAACTACAGTCCTCCAGATATTGCTGAACTATAACTACCAGCATCCCTTACCACAGCCTTTCTGTCTACATTTCCACACACATACACACACACACACACACACACACACACACACACACAATTCTTGCCAAGCCTAATGGATGTTTTCTTGGTTCTCCTCCTAGCATTGTGTTCCTTTGGTTGTGGCACTGGATTCTGCATAGCTCCCAATGTCTGTGCTTGCCGGGATGGAAGGCAGGGCATCACCTGTCAAGGTAAGCTGCATTTCCGGAAATGCTATCAGCAGTACTATTTATTGATTGGATGCATGATTCCTATGGAAAGTTTGCCTGGTACCACAAGGAGATGCTCAGTTTGTGGCTTTAGGATGTATTTTAAAATCTGGGAGCTATAACAGAGAATCTATGGAGTGGATTTCTTGTGACCCCGACTCCCGACCTGTCCTAACAGAGGAAGAGGACTCAGAAGGTGATGGGGAGGAACTGACAAGGCCTCCCTCTCCAGGACCCTCCTTTCTGGCAATGCCTCAGGTTCCATCCGAAGGCCAGGAGGAACAGCCTGGGATGTGCTAGGAGGAAGGCATATCGGAGCACCAATTGATAGGGAGCGAGGATGATGAATCCTGGCTTGATCCCAGGCAGCGTCGGAGGGAGAAGCGTGTGCAGCAACGGAAGAGGCGTGGGAGGGCCAGAGATTGAGCTGAGTTACGGAGCCATGCCCCACCAGGAATAAAAGTGGGTGGGATTGCTCTTCAGGCTTTGTGACGGACAAAGTTAAACCCTGAAAGTCACATCGTGATCTCTGAAATTCGGCTTGGATATATTTTGGACTGAACATTGACTATACTCTTGTCTTGTGGATAATTTGTTGCTCCTGGAATGGACTGAAGATAAGTCCTCTTCTGCTTTATGGGAGTGAAAACGGTCTTGGCAGGCATTCGGCAGTTTGCTGCCAAAACCTTAGTCTGCCAAGAATTCTAATCTGTTTACCTAATAAAATATTGGCAGGCGTGCTTGGTATTACGTTTGCCTGTGTGAGGAAGGGGGACAGAACAGGATTGCAAACTTCTTATTTCATTCTATATCTTAGTTATACCTCATTTTTCCAAAATAACAAAGCCAAAAGCACCCTGTGATGCAGTTCCTCCATCATTATAGCTCTCTAAAGGGAGAACTATATTAGGCAAAGTCAAAGATGACTGAATTGAAAAACTGGGAAATGGGGAACAGTTTTCTGAGATAGGATGAGATCATCTGTAGTACAAAATGATTGGGAAAAAGTTCTGCTCTATATGTGTAGGAACATTTATCTAGCTTGCCATGGTGTAGGATTACCAAGGATCCTGTACTTCTTCTACACCTCAGTATATATGGCTCATATGGCCTCTTGGACACTTTAGACAGGAGAGAAAAACTTGTGCTTGTCCAGATACTGTTAGGATATAATCATCATCAATCTTAGTTAAATGATTAATAATTGTGGACGTACTTTATTTTATTGGTTAATATTGTGATTACATCTTATTATAATAAAAGTTGTTCTAACTTTTAAGTTTATATCTTGCCTTTCTGTTTATGTGTTTAGAAAAGTAAAATATATAAAATGTACCAATAACATCAGTGCATTTAAATTGAATTTAAAGACTAAAAAACTAAACTCATTATAACTGAAATCATGTAACTGATTTCTTGATTATGGAAACCACAATTCATAAACTTGTGGATGGCCAGATATTCCTAGACTAGAGCCAGTGCTATAATGATCCCAGCAAGGGACACATATTCTTAGAATCAAATTTCCACCCTGTCCATTTTCAATGCTTAACATCAGTGATCCAGTTTCATTCATCCTTTAATATGACAATACATGTAAACCATCCCTGGAAAGCAATAGACTAATTTGCATGTCCTTACCAGTGGGGAGTTTTCTATTGTTCACCATTGAGTGATCAATTTCTTATACATCATCAAGTTGGTGTTGATTCTGGGATGTGTATTGCTTTTTTTCATTTGGGTAATCTACGTTAACAGTGTAACAGCCAAATAGTGCTTGTTGTTTTCACTAAAAGCAGACCCAAGAACAGCTGAATGAAAATAATGCTGGAGCTCTTGGACTTGGGGGTTTCTCCTTTCTGTGGGCTCTGCCAGTGGATTGAGTCTTTTCCGTAAGATCTTTTCCAGGACTGCCGGTTCTGGGCTGCCAAACTCCAGAGGACCAAAGGATATCAGCAAAAGGATAACTTGGTGGGCTCCTTGGTGCTCTTTGAGTTTGCTTTTTTCCTCTCCAGACATTTCATCACCAAACTAGGTAACATTGTCAATTAGTGCATCATCATCACTGATGATGTTACTTAGTTTGGTAATGAAATGTCTGCCAGAAAACAACCAAGTTTAGAGAGCACCAAGGACCCCATAACCTTGAGCTACAAAGGTTAACTTCTGTTAAAACCCTCCTTGCTACCATTCTAATCAGTCCAGGTTTTACAGCCCTATTCGTCCTGAAGTTGCTGGAATAGACATTTCTGTTCATGCAGCAGTGAAATGGGGGATGTTTTCCTCTGCCTCGTCCCTTCTCACAGTCCTTGCATTTTTATTACCTTACAGATTTCCCCTAATTGAAATCTCTCTGTGAAACTGTCCCATGTTGTTTTTTTACAGACCCACCTGGAGCCTGTGGGGAGTATGGCTGCGACCTCACCTGCAATCATGGGGGCTGCCAGGAGGTGGCAAGAGTGTGCCCTCTGGGATTCTCTATGACCGAAACAGCTAATGGTGTACGTTGTGTGGGTAAGCCAGAAAATGGGGTAACTCCCTCCCTGGGAGTCAGGAGAAATGGATCTTTAACACAAGAGTCATAGGGAATTTTTACACTTTTACACTGAGTAAGTCATTGCTCTCTAGCTATAGCAAGATTGGTCAACATCTGGCCACTCAGCTATGGCTCCAGAACATCCCCAGATCCTGCTGCTGAAATCTGGTATGAGCAATCATTTTCACTTTTTTGCCCCCAAATGAGAAACAAGTCACCAGAAGGTCCAAAATTTTCAGTTCTAACCATTCTCTTAACATCATATGTCATATGAGTCTTACATATTTCAGAGCACTCCCTAAGGGATGGGGGTGGGGAGGAAAGGAGAGGAGAGAAGAGGAGAGGAGAGGAAAAGAGGTCACCCTCATCCAAAAGATTGCCTGCACCTTCATTAAAAGCTGGATCAATAATTTTAATTGGTCAGTGGCATATTTTCTTTGAAAGACTTTCTCTGTACACAGACACACAAATACATCAGCAACAATGCTAAACCTGCACTGACCAAAATAATAATATGGAGGTTGTGCTAAGGGGAAAATGTGTGGAAATAGGTTCAGTGTTCTAAAATGATTCAAAATGAAATCAAAAAGTAAAATGGAACTCTTCTTCAAGTCAGGCTCAACTGCTGACATCACAGACATCACAGAAGGAAAGTGATTTGTGCTGCCTTTTTCTGAAATGTTTTTTCAAGTTCTCCATCCCACCCACTACCCTGTTATATCTAGCCCACCTTCTGATCACTCAGTAGTGTCCTCCTTGTGCACTTTGACTTGTGCTATCGGAGAGACTGGATGCCTGATTTCCACAGGCTACAGCACTGGCCAATCACTACATAGGTGACTTGTATGCATGACTATAACACTTTTTCAAAGAGCATTAAATCTGTCTTTTAAAATAATGGTTTGACATTCTTTGCAAAAAAAACCAAAAACCCTCTAGCCCTATGTCTAATAAGCAGAACTAGTATTCTCTTCTTCTACATGGCAAAGAAGTTTGGTTTACACCAGATGGTATCCTGCCAGCTCTAAGTATAAATTCAAAATAAAGTCAAGTAAAAGTAAAAAAGTTCTTGGTTTTGTTCCATATGAATGCATAATAGGTTTTCCACTGATTCTGGAAAACCCCACTGAGCTGTTACAGATAGTGAGTCATAGTGAATTAGTTACCTTAAGGATTAAGAGCTGTCTCTTTAAGAGATTGCATTGTGGGAGTTGGAGAGAGAGCGAGAGAGAGAGAGAGAGAGAGAGAGAGAGATTACATTATGGGAAATGTAGTCCATGACATGTGACCATATCTGTGTGTCTGGTTGGCCACTGAGGCGCTCTGCCTGGGTGCAGAAAAAAGACCTGGCCATTTTGAACTACCACAGAAGAGAGAAGCATGCTTTCTGAACTGGGGGACAGAACTACTGTCATTTTACACTAGGAAATGGGATAGATTATGAAATACTTGGATCAACATCACCTTGACTCACCATGATTGTAAGTCTGTGTTTGAGGATACCTGAAATAAATATAATCTGCATTAAAACCTGTTTGCTAGAGTTTATCTGCCTGTTCCCAGTGGAGCCAGATGCCTGGGGAACAGAACAGTAAAATGACATAGACTGCCTGACCCCCTCCCTTTCTTTCTCTTGAAGCATTGATAGACATTCTGTATGAGTGAAGAAAACAAAACAAAAGCACACCCACCCCATACTGGGGAAGGAATGGGGGGAATGTCTTTAAATGCATTGCTGTCATATTACCTAAGAGATGTCAACTATGATCATTTAGCCCTCCATTTTTGTCTTTTGGTGCAGCTGATCTCTTCTCCTATCTTCATATTTGTTGATCCACAATATTTTTTCTGCAGATATTGATGAGTGCCTGAGTGCTTCCTGTGAGGGGCTTTGTGTGAACACAGAAGGGGGCTTTGTGTGTGAATGTGGCCCAGGGATGCAACTTGCCACTGACCGGCACAATTGTCAAGGTGGGTCAGACTGGAATTGCAAGAAGGGAGGTCTGGATGAAGTTTTTTTTTTAAAAAAATTGCAGACGGAACGTTGGTAGGATAGATTGTCATGGGCCAATGATGTTAATCATCTTGATCCCAGATATTGATGAGTGCCTAACAACACCTTGCCAGCAGCATTGCCAAAACAGTATTGGCAGCTATCAATGTTCCTGCCATCCTGGATTCCACCTTCATGGCAACCGACATTCGTGTGTGGGTGAGTGATTCTGCTTTTGTTGGAGAATCCAGCAGATACCTTTCTTCCACCTTTCTTCTAAAACAAGTGGTTTATCCTAGCCTAAAAGCTCTATGGCAGCTATAGCTTTCTGGAGAACAAATTGGAACTGAATCATTTGAAGGATTTATTTTCTTTCATTTAAAAAATGAGGTCCATGTAGGTATGTTATCATCACTGCTTTAGTTTGGGGGAACAGCCTGTTCTGACTGAGACTCCAGGAGGCTGCAGTGTGATGCAAACTGCTCCAAATCAGAGTGACAACACTATTTGGGCTCCTAAAACTGCACATTTAAAAAGGGGCTGATTAGTTTCTTTGAGTTCTTTGTTCTTTGTATCATACCTGACAGTGTCACATATCTAAGTTCAGCAGATCTATTTTCCCAAATTGAGAAATAATGATGGAAAAATTTTCTTGTTCGATATTGTGGTGCTGCAAGATACGTAAGCTGCATTCAGTGTCAGAGCTATGAGATGTCCCCTCATGCATATGAACTGCTTAAACAGCAACTGGACTTTCTCGATTTTTCTTGAAGATGTTCAAAAAACTCCAGTTGCTGCTTTAAAAAAACCCTTTTTGGGATAAGCATGACCTGGATGAATGAGAACCTCTATGACATTTTCTCTAAGGTGTCCTTATAAGAAAATCTTAATAGCAAGCTGAATTGGCCCTGAGTGATGACAAGGGAAATAATCAGTCAAGAACTTGTTTCTATTCACTGACCATATCTCGGAAATAGTACAGCTAGCATTCTGATTTAGTAGGAAGGGATATATAGAAACTTAGGTGATATGGCCAGAGAAGAGGCCCACAGGCTTTCAGGAGCAAAGTTGAGGCTGAGAGGAGCCAAGGTGGGGGGAAAATCCAGTGCCGCCCCAGCACTCTCCTTTCCTTGGAAAGGGAGTCTTGGGAGGGGAAAACTGCAGCCACAGACAGAGTGGGTATGTCTGTGTGTGTATAAAAAGCACAAAGCGAGGGAGCCAGCAGCCACGGATTAAGGAGCTTTGTGAAACTTCATGCCTACATGCAAAGTTTGGCGAGGGAGGGGGAAGAGATACTTCCCTCGCTTGGCAGTGTTTTGCTTGAAAATATTTGAGAATCTGACCAGAGAGAAGGCGTACAGATTTCCATGCCTTCTTTACGGGAGGTCACTTTACACCTGCAACATCGGAAGGAGCCCTGCGAGGAGACAGATTCTCAAATATTTCAGAAGAAGCAGTAGAGATCCTGGTCTTTCTTTCTCTCCCCCAAACTCCACCAGAAATGAGTCTATGTGAGACTCGACGCGCTGGTACAGCCTCTTGGAGCAGGACATTGCAAGGCTTGTTGTGTTGCTGTGTGGGTGAGTGGTGGCACTGCCACGAGGTTTGACAAATCGGCACAGCAGGATTGTGATGAAGCTCGTGGTGCTGCCGTTCATGGGTGCAATGCCACAACAAACCTTGCAGGGTTCTGCACCAAGAGGCTGTGCAGGTATGACAAACCTGACAGTGGTGTCGTCACTCCCACATGGAATTTCGGGGAGAGAAACAAGTCAGAGTTTCTGCTGCTTCTGCTTTCCTTGCATGCAGCCAAAAGTTCACAAAAGCCAGGAAGGTGAAATGCCAAGCTCATCTCGTACCCACACTTCATGTATGGGCTGCCCCCAAGCAGCGCCAGGCCTGGGGAGGCTATTGGAGGAGTCCCACACGGCCCCCGCTTGCTTCCGCTTTGCCTTTGCCAGGGCAGTGGGTGCTAGAAGGGCTTTGTTCTGAAGCCTCCCAGCCGCTTGGTTTGGGGCAGACAGTGCCCGGCAGGTCCAGGTGCAGTGGGCAGGCAGGCAGGTGGAGTGGCTGCGCAGCTCACTCGAGTTGCAAACAATCTGGGGATTTGGGCAGCATTTACATGGCTGAGATGCCTACAGGATCCCTGGCTTCTAAGGCTGGTGAGGCCCAGAGAGGAGGTGCTGTGAAGGAGCCCATTTTTCACATTGGCCTTGGCTGCAAGGTTGCCTGGTGCCGTGGGCAGGACTGGGGCTAGTAAGAGTGCACTGGAATCATCTCCAGGCACCCGGGAAGACAGAACTACCAGCCCTTGCTGGATAAGCTGATCCGCGGGCCGTGGTTAAGGGGGCAAGCAACCATGAGATGACAGGGAAAGGAAGGGCTGTCTCCTGTGCTGGCCACACCCGACCCATTCACTAGGGCTTATTTTTGGGGTAGGGCATTTATTAGGCTCATCCCAAAAATCAGGATAGGATTTAGGGGCTGCCTTTTCCTTTTAGAATTTGCTCCCCCCTCTTATCCCTGATCTTTTCTTTGCTTTCCATGCATTTGCACAAATGCATGTCTTCAGTCCACATTCTCTCCTTTGATATTAACACAGGCCTTTTCTGTCCCCTCCCCCCACCACATTTATTGAACCTTTTTTGTTCTGCCTCTACAGTGATTTAAGCAAATGATACAATTTACTGTAAATTCACCGAAAATTAACTTCCCATTCCTAAGGAAGAATTAAGAAAACTAAAAGAGAGCCACAGTTATTCCTTATGCATATGCTATCTGTTGCATAGTTTGTATGTATATACTATACTTTCTGGCCCTTTATGGCTAAGCAACAAAATCTACACAGCTACAAGCTTGAGCTGACCTAGCTGTGCTGTAAGCCTCTAGCGCCCTGTCTGTCTGGTGTAGATATGAATGAATGCCGCCGACCCAGTGAGAAGCGAGCCTGCCAGCACTCCTGTCACAATACACTGGGGAGTTTTATGTGCAGCTGTCATCCAGGCTACCGACTTAGTGTGGACAGATTGTCTTGTGAAGGTAAGGACTGTGATATATTTCATCCTACAAGAAAGCCTTCTTGATCCTTTGCACTGCATCAATTATTTGTTTATTGTGATAGAAACTGACCAACTAGAAAAGTCCTGAGACTATGGGAATATGTATGTGAGCAGTGGGAAAACAAGGAGATGTTGGAAAATGTGTAAAGCTAGTCCACATCTGTTTAGTAAGCCAAAGTGATTCAGCCCAGCAGAGACCGGCTTGCTGTTGTAAACTGCCTAGGATGGTGACTACATTTGTTCCTCTAGAAATCTCAGTTTCCACTTTCTTGCTCATCTCATCTATGTTGGTAAATGTCGTGTCGCGTTTCACCAGTGATAGTACTTTTGCCAAATGTATTGTTCCTATGGAACAGAACTATCAATCAAACTCCCTCTCATTTCGTTACTGAGATCCCCAATGGCCGTAGTTATGCCTACTGGTTCTTGACGAACTTAAAAAATCAAGATCAATTCAAAGAGGCTATTGAAACAGGGCTCTCAGTCTGTTGGATTAAGTTATCTCCCCTCAGTATGTGGAGCTCACCAGATCAGCTTTCTGGGGCAGAGATTTATTTTTCTAAATAGGCAGGCAGGCAGACACATTTCATCTTCCGGGATTTTTTAAATGTGCTTTAAAAGATCTGTAAAATAACTTGCAGCACTTTTAAACAGTATATTTTGTCATGTAGAGTGTTGTATGCAATCGCCCTTGGTTCATATTACATTGATAATCATTTCCAAGAAACATTTTAATACAAATTTATCTGACCTTGTTTCTTACATAATTTTCCCTGAAGCATAATTTTGCAATACATATTTTTCACTCTATGCGCTTGATTTTTTTAAATAAAAATAAACCTTTTTGTTTGCATCTTTCAAAAACACCTTTTTTTCTTGAGTGTCTCTTAAACGATGTTTTTTATGTGAACTTTTTAGCAGATAAACAGAATTTAGTAATCTCTACTCAAAATTCTACCTGCCCCATAATCAGTTTGTTTTGACAGATGCTTTCAATTTTTTCAAAATGGGATTTTGTTTACTGTAGAGATACAGAATTTAGCAACCCTTTTCGGTTCCTTTAACAAGGGTTTTCAAAAGTCTCTGTTATTGTAATCAGATAAAACTGGAGTCAAAAGCTGGGTAAAAGACACAATTGAGAGCACAGTGTAAAAGCTCTTATTGATGGAGTAGAAATATCTTCCCAACAGTGATTTGGAAGCTGTGCATTTTGGGCAAAGTGGGTGGGGGAGGTGAGGTGGGGAGGATTTCTGAATATAATTGGCCATTTCTGTAATGGAGTTTGTGAATGACCTTGGGGAATGAAGGGAAAAGATGCTGCTTAGAAGCAATCAGACAAGCGAGGAAGGATCCCGCTATGGATTAACAGTCAGAAGAAGTAATTTAGGAAGGAATCTAGTGGATTAATTTGGATTTGGATTATTAATGTTATCCAACAGAACATTCTGTGAGACAAAAGAAGAAAGGTGATAGAAGAAAAGACAAAAGAAGGAAAGTTAAATAAGACTAAAATTTGGACAATTGGGAAGATATATAATTGAAAAACTATAGAAATATACTGAGTAATTTTTATTAAATTGTTATAAAATGGATTTACAGGGGATAATAGAGGTATATGAAGAAATATTCTTGATGCTAAAAAGTGTGCATGAAAGTATAAAGAACAATAAAGAGACAAGGGTATTGTTTAAAGACACAGAAACGAATGTAGAAGTCACTCAACAATTGAGGGGAAAAGAGGAACATGATATTCAAGAAATAGATGAGAAATTAGAAGAAGCAGTAGAAGGAAAAATCAAAATGAGATGCAAGAAGGTAAAAATAAAAAAGAGAAAGGATTAATAAGAAGGAATCAATTAGATAACTCCTTAAAAGCTTATAATAGAACAGAGAGAAAAGAGAAAAATATCTTCAAAAAAAAAAACAAAAACAAACAAAAAAAAGACCTGGAGAAAAAAAGAGAGAAAAATCTCTTTTAAAAAAAAGGAAGAGTTGTTGATGGGTGTTCAAATAATACAGCAGAAAAAGACAAAGGGTATCCAGAAGGGAATTTTCAGTAGGCACAAAAATATTGAAAAGAGCTCCAAGATTCCAAGAGAGAGAGATAAAAGGCTGACTAAAAAGTCAATAAATGATGGAATTTTAAAAAGGTCAAGAGATGATGGATAATGAGAAAATATACTGATAAAATGGGAAAATACAAATAGGGAAAATAGTAGTACATATAATAATAGATAATATAACTTATAACTAAAAATAAGTCAAGCTTAGTAGGTGGAAATTTAGGACTAGGTAATTTAATTGTATTACTAACATTAATAATGTGTTACAGTATATTGTGAATTTAAAATATTAAGGATTAGAAATTGTGGGGATTTTGAGATACACTCCTGGGACTGATTAAATATTGTTAATATTTGGCTTTATTAGTAATTCTACACATTTGAATATGGGAGTTATGGTGGAATAATGAGTAATTCTTAAAATATTAAATATTAGTAATTTAGTAGAGGATAACAAATACATGGCGCAAAGAAATGTTATCTATGTTGAAATGAATTAATGGGGAAAATGATAAAGATTTATGAAGAGAGAATAGTATTGTTGAAGTTGGAAGATTAGGAGTACACATACTTATTTGTATTATTATTGTTAGCGTTGTTTAAAAAAGATTTGACCCAGGCAATACACTGTCCAAAAAATATGTATGGTGTGAATAGAAAACTGTAAATAAAACATGTTTTTAAAAAAGAAGAAGTAATTTAGGAAGGATCTGCCCTAATTGTTTGGGCAGTTAAAAGTGGTGGCAAGAAGTCTGTACTTCAGAATTAGCAAGATTCTGTTAATGTAGCCTTACAATAAAGTAGAATTAGTTTATCTAGTTGTGTTTCCTGTCTGGTTTAGCAGCGAGGGCTGACAATTTCTCTCTCTGACTGACTCTCTTCCCTGTTCCTCCCTCCTACCTCACAGGTTTCTCAAAGTTCAGCCTGGCCCCTTCTCCCATTTTGCAGTCTCTTCAGCAGCCGCAGACTCTGCTACGCCTTTCTCCAGAATCCATAGGGCCTGCCTTGCCCCCCCAGGGGTTCCCCAGCACTTGCTCCCTCGAGTGTACCTGGAACCCCATTTCCTTTTCTGCTCGTTCCCATTCTCTCTGTGCTTCCATCAACAGCTTCTCCCACCTCCTCATCTCCTCCCCACAGCTCATCTTTTGGCACCTCTTTCTGGCCCAGAACTGCCAGGCCTTCTCTGCCAGTAAGTCCTCTGTCACCATTGTTACCAAAGAAGTTTAGCCCATCCATTCCCCCCATCCCTTTGACTCCCTCAATTCCATCTGCCTGCTGGCATGGAGGGGTTCTTCATGAAGATAACAGCTCCTGGACAGAGCCACCATGTCTGAATTGCTCCTGCGAGGTATATGGCATATTTTGAGTTCTTATCTTACTCTCCAACTTCAAGTGTTATGTTGGTACTGTCTGTATTGTCTTATTACAGGGTGGACAAGTGTTCTGTCAAACAGTGACATGTGAAGTTTCCTGCTCTCACCCAATTCCCCCAGCCCAGGGAGAATGCTGTCCTGCCTGCACAGGTGAGAGAAGTACCCACCAGGGGCTCTATATGCTTGTGTCAGATTGGATCACGTGGGCCTTCCCTTGTTTTTACCATGGAGGATTTTCACCATATACCCCCTTCCCCCACAACTGATAAGAAGCAGTCCCTAATTTCTGGACTTGACTTAGTAAGTCCCCATTCCTTTTTTTATTAACATTTTTGTTTCCTGGAAATTATATAAAACTTGGTCTAAGTTTCCTGACTTGTCATACTTCATGGATCACCTCATTCACTGGAGCATCTGAAAACTGGGCAGAAGGTTGACACATCTTTATTCACACAGGTGCCATGTCTTGTGCAACCTAACATTTTGTGTAAAATGTAAATGCTCATGTGAGTCGAGCTTGACTTCTGGTATCCAGCTATGCAACATTCTGTATACAGTTAGCAAATTGAAGGATAGTCTTTTTTAGATCACTTTTAATTGAAAGCTAAAAATATTGGCACTGTCCCACCAATTTTAAAATTAAAAAGTTTAATTGGTTAAAATCTCATGAGATTTTCAGGCATTAAAAGGTTTCTGTAATATAACCTGTTGATTCTAATATTGTTTGAACCTTGTAAGTTTTGGCAATTTCAGCCATTTTTAATGTAGTGAATTTATTTCTTAATTAGATTGATATCCCATATTTTCTTCAGGAGCTCAAGGCAGCGTTCATAGCATTCCCTTCATCTATTTTTCCCCACAGAAAGTATCCTGTGAGGCAGGTTGAGCTGAGAGAGTAACTAGCCCAAAGACACTAGTTAATTTCTATGGCTAAGGGTGAACTGAGCTGAACTAAATCCAACCACAATGCAACTATAGCTCTCAATCATTATGGACATCATGTGGAGTATCACAGGTCTATCCTGGTACCTATAGATATTCCTTAACCTAGACTTACTTTAACCTAAAAAAAAAATAGCTGTGAAGTTTTCAGAAAAGGAATGAACACAGCAGAGGGAGCAACGTTTCCCAACTTGGTGGCCTTCTTTAAGACTCTTGGGCCTAATAGAAGTTTATAGTGTAATATATAGGGAGCTTTGCATGTTGGACATAACTGAAATAGAGCTTTTACCTGGGTTCAGCAGCCAAGAGGTATCTTGAATTATCTGTGACTTGCAAATGGTGATATTGTTACATGTATTTTCATCTATGGAATATTGGAGAGCAACTAGCAAGTTTTTGAAAATATCTACATGCTGACCACTGAAATTTTCCCAGTTAAGAGAAAGTGTAATGGGGCCTATTTCCCTTAGTTCTTGTCCCTTCAGAGAAGAATCTTCTCATTCCTGTTTCCTACAGGCTGTTTCTATTATGGGATGTCCAGAGTTGAAGGGGACGTATTCTCTCTCTCTGAGGAGAACTGCACAGTCTGTGTCTGCCTGGTGAGCCTCAGGGAGTTGGGGCTGGTATTTCTTTGAGGTCATATAAATTAATACTTGCTAATACTTTAGATGAAAATAAATATAATGACTGTTGCTTTTGCTAGGAGCCATCTAACAAATTGTACTGAAACTTGTAAATGTTTTGATGGGCATCTGTTTTTTTTGACCAATAGCCCAGAAAACAGGGTTGAATTAAGAGATGGAATTATTCCTCTTCCTCCTCCGTTTTACTTTATAGTACAAATTATTATCCAATTTAACATGAAGTTTCAGACCCACATGATTTTATAATGTAGCCATATCTTGGGTCACTGATTTTCAACTATTTATCAAAGATGCCAAGTTTCAAAAAAAAAAAAAACAATACAGAAAGAGGGGAGAACAATACTATAGTGAAAGACAAAATAGTTTCCAGCTTCTATCAAACTTGCATTTTCATGTTGCTTTCATGCCACCCAAACACCTTTTCTGAACCTGGCTGTTCAGATGGTTCAAGGAGGGTGCAAGGAGGGTTACCTTTGATTTTAAACCTGTACAAGGATCCCCGTAGGCAGGAGCAGGATATAGTGTGTTACTATCCTTCTCCCATGGCCCTTACAAACCCCTCACTACAAGCTGTACTCTCTTCCTTTTCAGCCTTCATTGTTAGCACTCTTATCCACATAATCACTGGGATGCCTGTCTCCAGTGGTTGAAGTCTGCTATCCAGGAAGAGTGCATAGAATTGATTGGGTGAGCATAGTTTTTCCAAGGGGTAATTTTATAGGTGAGATACACTGAGACTCTTTATCAGCCACATGATGGCTAGGAGCAATACTAAATCCTACTGTTAGACAGTAGATGTCATGAAAGAAGAGCATATTCTCAAATGTTAATTTAATTGGTATTGTATTTATTGCCAAAGAGAAGCTTGTAGGATGTCTCTGTCTCAAAGCTGAAAATAGTGTTGGTGGTCTCGGTACTAAACACTTGATGTAGAGCATGTACTGTTTATCTGAGGTGGCAAAATGCATTGAAGTGGTCCAGAGTGAGGAGCATTTGGAATTTAATGGAAACAATGGGCGTGAGCATTTGGGAGGCGAAGGATTATGTTCACAACAATCCATTCATTCTTTGTCACAGTTTTTCTTACCTTGTTGCCTAGAAATTATAGTGGCTGAAATCTAAATTATCCTGATGCCACAAGTTTATGGAACACATTCACAAATATAATCCAGATGTGTCATCAGGCTGAAACTGCATTGTAGAAAATGAAAAATCAAACAAACTGCACTATAATGTTTGTTTTTCATTCCAGGCAGGCAACATTTCCTGTATTTCTCCAGAATGTACACCCAGTCCATGTCCCAGTTCTGCTCAGACCGATTGTTGTCCCTGCCAGCCAGGTAGATCTCTCTCGATTACTTAATTATTTGCCATGAAGACATCTTGTTTTTTAGAGACAGTGTAAAACAAAAAGGGTGGAAATGGTGGGAAGTCATTCTTTGAAAGATTTTATCCAAGGAAGTAAGATATCCTATGAGTAGGTAATGCTAGGATTCACAGTATAAAGACTTTTCAATGCTTGAGTGCTTCCCTCTATAAGTGAATTGGGGTGGGGGGCACCTTGGGGGAAGAATTTCAAGTGAGGATGCCGAATAAATGAAAATTAAAATCCAAGTGTCTGTGCACTATGAGAAGACACAGGAGTATAAATTTACATCATAAAAGCTATGGGCACAAGATCATTAGAGCTGTACATTTATAAATGTGATACTATAGATTAATTGGCCCTTTATCTGGTCACCAATGCTTCTCTTTTCTATGGAAAGATCACCTGTGCCATGTTACTCTTTCCTGCCATGAATCTTCTATAGCAGGACTGACCTGTTGATTTCCTCTGTAGCAGAATGTCATTTCCGTGGGCAAATATACACAGAAGGGACCGAGTTCAACCCAGATGGTGATAACTGTACCATCTGTGTGTGCAGGGTATGTGTTTTATCTACCTTTACTCATCTACCTTTTTATAAAAAAAACATTGAAGTTTATTGTAATATAAATACATAAAAACAAAGATAATAAGGGACTAGGGAAGGAAAAAGAAAGAGGAAGAAGGTGCAAGATAAGAGGGAAAGAAAGAAAAGCAGTGACTTCTAATCTTTTTCAGTGCAGTCAAATATAAAATACAGCTACAACCTCAATTTTTTACTTAATATGTTTAGTAAGTACTAGCTGTTTCTATAACAATAGTATGATCTAATTATCAAAAGCCAGGATCAATTTTTTTTTCTGTTTTGAGCATAAAGTCCACAAGCGGTTTCAAGTAGAAATAAAACAGTATACATTATTTTCTTTTATTAAAACAGTTAATTTTGTCATCTCTCCGTCAGTTTTTCCATTCATTCTTCCATTGCGGGAATTGTCGCATCTTTCCATTATTGTGCATATAAAATTCTCGCTTCAGTCAACGTATATAATAACAAAGTTTCAATTGTTTTTCAAGTTCTTTGTTCAATAGTCCAAAAAGGAAAACTTCTGGTTTCGTTTTGTATTTGTTTTAAGAATCTTCTGAATTAAAATATAAATCTGGCCCTAATATTTCTTTCTTTATCACAAGTCCACCAAAGATGATAAAAAGTATCTTCTTTACAATTACATTTCCAACAATATTTCAGACACCTCTATATATCTTTTACAGTTTCTCAGGCGTACCTTTGCTTATCTCAGAGGATGTTCAAATTAATTTTCTTTCACTTAAGTATACACACAGTCTCTCTCTTGATTTCTTTCTCTTACATACACACAAATACACACTGTTATAAGCTTACATTTTTCTCTCTCCCAATGAAAAGCATATGATGAGATATAAACATTGGCAGCAGCTTAAGTCTGTGCTTTACATCATTTTTACCCAAGAAATCATGCATTTCAGTTATTTAGAAGAATGACTTTGATCTTTTCTTTCTGGTTGTCCTTAAACCCTTGTAATTTTTCTTATCTGTTCAAGGAGAAACATTTTTTCTGCTTCACTGCAGAAACTTGAAACTGTTACATGAGTTTTATTGGTATTCCAGAACTATATGTCAAATGTGAAATTGGCTAAATGAGGCCTCCAAAGGGAAAGCCTATTAATAGCCCTCGAATGCTCTGTAGCAAAGAAGGGGCCAGGTACAAAATGTTGAAGCATTTCTTAAAAAAGCATGCCACATATTTCTTTTGTCATAACACTGAAAGCAGTGACAAATTAAAAATACAAAAACAAACAAATAAATACAGTCAAACTCAGTTTAAAAATATATAACATGTAAAATCACATAAGACAACTCCTAGAGCATATTTCTGGAGATTCTTTCATCCTTTTTCTAAATATGGAGCTATTCAGACTAAGAATACTGTCATGTGGGAATGCGTTCTATAAATAATATCCCCTGTACGTAACTGAAGTAGTCCTGAATGGTATTAAGAATGATGGTACACAAATAAGATAAATAATAAATAGATGGCACCCTGTTTCATCCAGCTACTGCCAACAGTAGATTGCTTACCAAGGTGACTATGCAATTCTTAGTTGTATATTCTAGTTCAGGGGTGTCAAACTCATGGCCCATGGGCCAGATGCATCACACGCTGGCCACACCCATGCCCGATTTACAAAGGGAGGGAAAATTGCAATATGTCATGTTATGGTGCGAGTTTGACACCCTCTTCTAATTGGAAGCCAAATTGAAACAGATCCAGAAAATTTATAGAGAAACTGCATAGCTTGAGAGATTCCCCTTATTTAAAAATATCTGTTAAAAAGAAATTGTGGACACCTGTCTTGATGACTTCCTCTCTGTGTCCTTTTCATTAATAATGGTACCTGGTCCTTCTTCAGCAAGGTGAAGTGGAGTGCTCTTTCCTTCCATGCCCCACCCCGGGATGTGCCCGTGAGGACTGGCTGTTGGCTCCAGGACAGTGCTGCTTCACCTGCCGAAAGACTGCACTCATGACAGGTGAGACCCCTGCAGCCACCATGCAAGAACATCTACATCATGGAATAATGGAAAATCATTTATATTTTTTGGGGAATTATATATTAATGTGTATTAATGTAATAATATTAATGTAGTAATAATGTATACAAAATTTATGTTGCTAAGTGCAAAATTTGTTAAGTGAGTTTTTACAACTTTTCTTGCCACATTTGTTCAGTGAATCATTACAGTTGGTAAATTAGTAACATGGTTGTTAAGTGAATCTGGCTTCCCCATTGACTTTGCTTGTCAGAAGGTCTCAAAAGGGGATCATATGACCCCGGGACACTGCAGCCTTCATAAATATGAGTCAATTGTCAAGCATCTGAATGTAAATTATCATGTCATAAGTCACTTTTTTCAGTGTTGTTGTAAGTTTGAATGGTCACTACGCGAACTGTTGCAAGTCTACCTGTATTTAATTAATATACATTAAGATGTTAATGTAATGTAATGTTAAATGATATACCAAAGCTTTGGAATTTGATTCTTTATTGTGATTGCATTGAGCATTGAGGGAGCCAAGCAAAATAATTATGCAGTATCAAGAAATTATTTTCTACTAATCAAAGGAGGCAGAACAGTAGTGTGTTTTTCTTATGGGAGAGATTTTGTTATATCTTACAATAATATCTTCTATTGTTTACACTATAGTAGTGAATTCATTGCTGAATTACCCTGTTTTCCCCAAAATAAGACATCCCCTGATAATAAGCCCAATCAGGCTTTTGAGCGCATGGCAATAAGGCTAAGTGCTTATTTTAGGGTTCAAAAAAAATATAAGGCAGGGTCTTATTTTTGGGGAAACACAATAGTAACTATTGATAAATATAAGATATAAGATACATATTTTTCCTTCTTAGTTTCATTTAGTTTACATTTTTAATTTTTAAAGTTTTTTGTAAGATATATTAAATTTAAAAAAGTAGTCCATAAACCGGAAGGCAGACTGACCTGACAGTTTTTCTCTAGATGAAAGGGGATTAAAACACAGGATAATTTTCAAACAACTGATACAGGTTTTCTTTATCTGGTTAGTTTTCACAATGCAAACTTTATCCCTACTCCATATGGTCCAAAATCGCTTCAACAAGAGCATATTTTTCTTTCTCCTTCCTTAAGGACACAGTAGCATCATCAACATCCACACCCATGCATTCAATACCTACATAAAATGATAAGGTGCACACAGCAAACAAGCATCAATGCATATGCAAATATAAAGTCAAAATAAAATTAATAGAACATATAATCTTGGCTTCTGATCTCCCTAAGGAAAGCATTCTTTGGAATCAGTCATTCAGAAGTGGCCCTGCCACTGTCCTTACCTCAGGAAGAGTCCTTTATAGCTCTGGCTCAGTCAGAGCCAGTATAAAAGAGGGCAAGTAGAAAAAGATTGGATCATAATCCCTAGAAGCCTCTCTAGGAGTACTAGCAAAAAATTTACAGTGCATTACTTTCTTCATGGTTAGGACCCAGAGAATACATCAAACCAAATATCAAACTAGCTATCCATGCAGGTCTTAATTCTCTTTTACAACCATGGACATTTTGATGTAAATTGCTGATAATATTTCTCCTAGCAAGCATGTTGGTAAGAGAGAGCTTTTTGTCTTTTCTGAGATGTTTCTTTTCATTGTTTCTCTTCAAGGTTGCTTTATCGATGACAATGGAATTGAATTTCCAGTGGGACAACTCTGGTCGCCGGGTGATCCCTGTGAGTTATGCATCTGCCAGGTGAATGATAACCTGCTCTATTTCACTTAGTTTTAACTTTCCAGTCTTCTATCGCATGATATTTTACTATTATTATTATTATCATCAGATTTTCATCCTGTTTTTGCTATAGTAGCTCCTTAACATTCCTCAGTGAAGATTCAGATGGATTCCTTAAGGAATGTTGCTCAAACTCCAGTTGTGTTTGCCTGTGCATTCTAGGACACATTGGGCAGAGTCAGATAATTATATTAAATGCAGTCTTCCAGTATCTGGGTTGGGCAAAAAAGTATGCTGGTGTATATTGTGTTGCCTTCTTTGACAATCCATAGTCTGCTTCAATAATGAGGCTGCCATTTTACTGTTTTAATGCTGGACAAGTTAAGGAAAGTGAAAGGAAACCACTGAGACTCTAGTCTAGGATGTGAATGCTAAGATTGTATTCAACTCTCCCAAGATGATACCATCCAACACTCACCTTATTGGGTGTAAAATAACAGAAGACCTCTAGTACCTTATGAAGACAACTAATAGAAGACTGATACTTCTGTCGGGATGGAGGCAATGGAGGATCTGTCTGCCCACAACAGACCCGCATTTTGTGCTGTGGGTTTCTGTGAAGTTCTTTTCTGTTACAGGCAGATGGTTCAGTGAGCTGTAAGAGGACTGATTGTTTGGAGATATGTCCTCATCCAATCCGAATCCCTGGACAGTGCTGTCCAGATTGCTCAGCAGGTAAAATTCCATCTTTTAGGAAAGCTGTTTTCTTCTTAGGGAAACCAAATATTTTCCTTCCTAGATCATCCATATTGTAATGAACATGAATACATGCTGTTTTGAAAACCAATGCATACAATTTTTTTAACATTTTATATCAAAATTGTACAGAAAATACAGACAGCGGACATACCATTTAGTTCTGCTTCTTGCTTCTGCCTTTTGCTTTTAAAGTAGACAGAATATTGTTCTGTTCATCTATAAATGTGAGAAACCTATCTCAAGTGAACATTCCTGTTTTTTAAAAATGTACCCTGGTACTCATTATGAGAAGACAGTATGTATTGGCAAAGGCATCGTAAGCCTAGCAAATAATTTCCAAAACTATTGATTTTTGTGGTAGATTTTTTTTCAAGGAATACTTAAGAGTGGCAGATGCTGTCTATGTTACACTTGAGTACTTTCAGATGAACATTTCCTAAGATTTTCATCAAAAGGCATTGTGCAATTATTTTGTTCACCCACCCCAAACAAGCATCCATCCATATGATGTCTACCTCTCTTATGCTTTCTTGAAACTTCTATATAGGCCATCTGGTTCAAGCTGACCAAGTAAATATTTTTTTTCTCTTTCACAACAAAAGGTTGTACCTATGCAGGGAAGATCTTCTATAACAATGAAACCTTCCCCTCTGTCTTAGACTCATGTCTAAGTTGCATTTGTTTGGTAAGTTCTCTAATTCTCTTACCCCAAGCTGAAAAAATGTGAAACCCTGGTAATTGTGAGCAAGCAAGAGTTTACATAAATTTTCTAAACAAACAAACAAACAAACAAACAAACAAACAAACAAACAAACAAACAAACAAACAAACAGACTGTCCATGACGTTCTTTGGGTTAAGAGTCCACTTCCCAAGAGGGAATCAGAATGGTATATCTACTCCACCCTCCCATAACCTTTCAGAGAGATGCAGATGTAAATCATGTCATGCTTCTATGCATGGGGTTTTAAATGACTTCATGTGATAACATTCCAGGATATCTTGAATAATTTGAAAATTGCTCATAATTGCTCACTTTCTTGACTTTTGAAACAAATCTTCTTGATATATTTGTGAAACTATTACTAAGGAGCTATTCGGGTGAGGGTGAGGGAAAGAAATAGAAATAAGGGAGGGGAGCAAAGTTAAAAAAAATTGTTAGGAGATGAAGATTTTAAATTGCAGTATAATAATATTGCTTTGCCATTAATATAGGTTTTTGTGTCTTTGTGTATGTGTGTACATGTGTGTATGCGTATTCTACTGCATGTGTGTGTACATGTACAACCCTATGTATGTCTGTGCATGGACCTTTTTAGCTGGGCTCTGTAGCCTGTTCTCCTGTGGACTGTGTCGTATCCTGTACATACCCTTTCCATCCAGAAGGCGAGTGCTGTCCAATTTGTCATGGTAAGCATCACAGCAATGTGGCTTTTCTAAAAGACTATTCCAAATGAATATATATACTTCTAATTGCACTTTTGCTATTGCTTTTCAAGAGAATTTGTGTTTTGGTTTGCATTTGAAACACAATTATTGACTATAGTTATTTTGCTATTAAGATGAAAATAATGAAACATGATGAAGAAAATAAATAAACTTATTTTGGCATTGTGGCATCCTGCTTCTCCCCAGAAGCTGCAGAAGAAGCAATAAACAGAGCAGAAGCTGAAGGGAGGGAATTGCTAGTAAAAGGCACTAAAAAACCAGAATAATGCTTTAAAACCAATTTTAGTTGGAATGGTGCGGGAATTGAAATTTTTGGCCAGTCCAGAAGTAAGCAGTGCTACAAATCAAGTTGGGGAAAAAATATTATTAAAAAAAAGTGAGCAATCAAAGGACTACAATTCCAAATTTTTTTTAAAAATGAGTTATTCTTTTACAAAACTATCACAAGTTTGTTTCCTGTGTATTGATGAAGAGTTTTGCATAATTTGTGGGTTTCATATTTTAATTTGTTTAAAACAAGTGTGCCTGCCCTTGACATTTATTTATTTATGTATAAACTAAACAGTCGCCTATCCAGTTGGTTGGAATTTACTTATGGTCTTTATTGCTTAGATGAGACTAAAAAGTAAAACGTTAGATAAATTTGTTAGTAACTGATTTGATTCTTGAACATTCAGCTTGATATCTGATGGGTTGCTTTCTTGCTATACCTTTCTTGCTATAGAAATTCTCACCTATATAATTATTTGTGTAGTAATCAGCAGTTGGGATGTTTTAATAATCTTGAGTAATATTTAGTATTACAGAAAGTAACTTCTGAATTTTTATATGACGCTATATTGTAATTTGGTCATGTTGCCCCATAAGCAGGTGTGTGGATAGTATGTTCACTGTCGGGACTGTATATCTTATGCATTCTTTTTCTGTAGACTGCAATTACAGGGGAAGAAAAGTAATCAATGGACACAACTTTGTTCCTGAAGATGAACCCTGCGTTTATTGTACCTGCCAGGTGAGATGTGAAGGTTTTGCAGAAGAGAGACTCCATTCCTTTTTCCCGGCTTTACCTCTCTCTGGTATATAATCCAAATTTGGGTCTACTACTGCATTAAAGTCCCTGAGCAGACAAATATTGGCGTAGTTTACCTCTAATAGCTTCTGATATAATTTCCCGTAAAAGTTTACTTGGCATCCATTTGGGGCATAGATTCCAACCAACAAACATTTCCTTTGGTCCATTGTTACCTCTACCATCTACCTTTTTTCCCGGCATAAATTAATTTAGCTTCTAAGTGTCCTTTTACATATATCACTACTCCCTTCTTTTTCTGATCCGCCAGGGAGGTATACAAATTTTCCAGTCTTTTATTCTCAGTATCGCTTTCTGGTTTCCTTTTACATGAACCTCCTGCAAGCATATCATATCATAATTTGCTTTTGCCAACTGGTTAAACACTCTCTTTCTCTTACATGGATTATTTAAACCATTAATATTAGCTGAAAATAAGGATACCCCCATCTCTCCCTTTACCATCCTTCTTACTACTTACTTATTGCTTGCTCTCTGTTTTCTTTCTAGTCTGTCGGGTTTTCCTCAGGGAAAGGGGTTCTTTCCTTCCTCCAGCTCCTTCCCTCTCTATCTTTCTCCCCTTCCCATCTGTTCATTCCTTAAGTTCTTCATCCTCCTGTAGGTCTTCTAAGCTTTCATTTTCCGCTTCCCCTCGGTCTCCAAGTCATTCACCTTAAAATTTAGCTCATAAAAATCTCGTGCCTCTCTCAAATTCTCAATATTAATCCTCTTGTCTCGCCAGGTTATCAATAAACCTTCCGGTATCAACCATCTATATAGAATTGCATTTTTCCTTAATTGCATCGTCAAAAATTGGTATCTTCGCCGCTGTTCTTTAACTTTCCTAGGGATTTGCTTTAAGATCATAATTTGTTGTCCTTTATATGATATCACCTGGTCCCTTGCTTTCCTATAAACCTCCTCCCGTACATCCTTCTTACAAAATCGGATATGAATTTCTTGAGGCAAATTATGTCGTTTTGCATATCCCGTAAATACCCTATAGGCCTCATCAATGTCTTTCATTATTAACTCCTTATCTTTTTCCAAGATTTCAGTTAAGATACCTCCAACTACTTCTCTCACACATTCTTCTTTGTCTTGAACCACGTTCTGCATTCTTAGGAAAAAGGAGGAGCGTTCCATCTGTAAGAAGATTATTTCTTCTTTCATAGTCCTCGTAGTTGCGGCCTGCTCACATTCCAAGCCCACCAAGCGTTCTTCATATCTATTGGTACGGACTTCCACTTCATGAAGTCTCCCCTCTTGTTTAACCATTGCCTCTCGCACTTCTATCAATTGTTCATTTAATACTTTAATGTCTCCCCGCATCGCTCCCATTTCACTTCTCAGATTCGTCGTTAAGTCCTCAAAGTTCTTCATCATTACCTCTTGCATCGTCTGCATCATTCCCTGTAGATTCTGTAGCGAGGGGGACTTTCCCAATGTACCGTATTTTCCGGCGTATAAGTCGACTGGGCGTATAAGATGACCCCCGAATTTTCCTGTTAAAATATAGGGTTTGGGCTATACTCGCTGTATAAGACTACCCCTCTTCCAACGCACACCAAATAAAAATTAAAAAACATCAACTGGCTCACCCACAATGTAAAAGCAGCTGTGCTAGACCCAAAATGCCCCTGCAACAAGCAGGAATCTCACACAGCCACAAAAAGCCCCAAAAAACAACTTTCACACTTTACATACACACAACACAACACAACACAACTGGCTCACCCACAATGTAAAAGCAGCTGTGCTAGACCCAAAATGGCCCCTGAAACAAGCAGGAACCTCACACAGCCACAAAAAGCCCAAAAAAACAACTTTCACACTTTACACACACACACACAGCACAACACAACACAACACAAACTGGCTCACCCACAATGTAAAAGCAGCTGTGCTAGACCCAAAATGCCCCTGAAACAAGCAGGAACCTCACACAGCCACAAAAAGCCCCCAAACCCAACTTTCACACTTCACACACACAAACTTCCACATACAGCTTTGTGAGATTTTCTGTGTTTGTGTAATTAGAGTGAAACACTACAAAAACATACTAAATCTCAGAAAGCTGCACAAATATTATTTTATTTTATTTTATTTTTATTTTTATATGAAAGCTAAATTTAAAACTTCCTAAACTTTAAATGGCTAGGTCTAAAAAAGAATAACTAAAAAAAACCCCAATTAACTATTTTTTTTAAAGCTCCCAAAGGGGAAAAAAACTTACCCAATAGAACAGGGGTCTCCAACCTTGGCAACTTTAAGACTTGTAGACTTCAACTCCCAGAATTCCTCAGCCAGCTTTGTTTTGCTGGCTGAGGAATTCTGGGAGTTGAAGTCCACAACTCCCTGCCTGCTTAATTGCAGGCAGGGAGTTGCTTGCTGATGGAATGGATTCAGGCAAGCGAAGCAAGGCAAGTGAAGCAAGGCAAACAGCTAAGGTAAGCAAGCTGGAGGGGGAAAACTTTTTCCCTTCTCCATGGCTCTGGCGATCCCAACTGAGTTGCCTGATTAGCAGATTGTCAGGGCTTGCATCGTCAGAGCCATTTAAGGCTCGTCAGAGCCTTTCGGGCTGGTCTGCCTGGTTACAGGAGAACGACACCCGGCGTATAAGACGTATAAAACTCCTGCTTGTGCCACCAGTTACCTTGTCTTCTGTCAGCCTCTTTCTTGATTACCTCTCATTTTTTAGCTGTGTGTGGAGGGGAGTCTCTTCTCATAACTTTTGCTTTTCAATTATGTATCCAATACAATTGCTTTAATTTCTATTGCATAGTCTGCAGGGTAGGTAGCAGAAACTGCAGAGTCTCTAAACAAACATTTATTCATAGTAAACACAGCAAATAATTGAATTACTCTATATAGTCCAAAAGAAAAAAAGCAAAACAAATCTGATCAGTAGCAGTAGAAATCCCACTAAGCAACAATCCTAACTCCATCTGGTCTAAAAACAACAGAGATCCTGTCTTTGAACAATATAATTGTAACTCTTCCCACAATACACAACAGCTTCATTATTAGTGCTTCCAGCGATCAGTTTGGTATTACTTCTCCCAGTATTAAAGGTAAAGGTTCTCCTCGCACATATTTGCTAGTCGTTCCCGACTCTAGGGGACAGTGCTCAACTCTGTTTCAAAGCCAAAACAGTGCTCATCTCTGTTTCAAAGCTGTTTCAAAGCTGTCCGAAGACATCTCCATGTCATGTGGCCAGCATGACTAAATGCCGAAGGTGCATGGAATGCTGTTACCTTCCCACGAAAGATGGTCCCTATTTTTCTACTTGCATTTTTTACATGCTTTCCAACTGCTAGGTTGGCAGAAGCTGGGACAAGTAACGGGAGCTCACCCCATTACGCGGCACTAGGGATTCGAACCACTGAACTGCTGACCTTTAGATTGACAAGCTCAGCATCTTAGCCACTGAGCCACCGCGTCCCTTCTCCCAGTATTACAATTCATGATATTCTCATCCATTTTCTCCAGCATGATATCTCAAGAGCATAATTTCTTCTCTGTTCAGCCTTTTTGAGGATCCAGCTTTCACAGCCATGTACAAAAAAGAGAGCATATTGTATTCAAGCTTCCACCTATGCCATGCAATAATAGAAATACTAGAAAATATAATAAAACATCCCTAGGACAGAAGGCAATGGATTTACTTGCTGCAATCAGTGATTTCTTGCTGGATTTTATTAACACCTCTTTTATTTTCTCTCTCTTCAGCTTGGGGAGGTGAGCTGTGAGAGGAAGACTTGTCCAAAGACTTGTACAGAGCCCGTTGGTTTTCTGATTCATTGCTGCCCGGATTGCCAAAATAATGAAGTTCTGGGTAAGTATTTTTTTTTTTGGTCACATCTGTCTGAGGAATCTATTGCTCTTCATTCCATCCTCTCAGATCTACAACAAGAAGGATGCAACAATTTGTGGAGCAGAAAAAAGTGTGTGATATTATACTACCTCTTTTAAGGAAATATAAAAATATTCTATGCATAGAACTGTTTACAGAAGCTGCATTAAGTTTGTCATGCAAAGTGAAATTGTCTGGGATGGTAATGGAGGTCAGAACACAGGAGACATTGTATTTGCAATTATAAGACATTTGAGAGTCTGTGGAGAAATCTGATGAATAAATTCTAAACAACTCTGACTTCCCTCTTCTGACAGTCACTGGTGTGCAAGCACTTTTCTGCTGCTCTATCTATACTAGGCCTATTAGGTTCTATAACAGCTTTGTTCCTTATGCCATCTGTCTTGTAAACTCACAGGATTCTTTGTGTGTGTGTGTGTGTGTGTACATCCGAACTAGACTGTGATGTTTCTCTGTGTTATATATATATATGTGTGTATATGGATATATGCACAATGATTATCTTTTGAAAGCTGAATGCAACGAAATTTCATTTTAATGTATGCTGATTAGTGTACATTTAAAGTGACAATAAAGTTCTATTCTATTCTATTCTATTCTATTCTATTCTATTCTAGTCTAGTCTAGTCTAGTCTAGTCTAGTCTAGTCTAGTCTAGTCCAGTCCAGTCCAGTCCAGTCCAGTCCAGTCCAGTCCAGTCCAGTCCATTCTGTAATGCTGGTTTCTTAACACATTCAAAACTGCAGAATGTGTTACAATGTACTTTCTAGGTTCCCCAATTATGCTCTGTTCAAGCTGTATGAAATAATCTTTTGTTCATGAGTGACTGAATCCACTTTTGTGATCCAGCAGGAAGGGGCAATGTTTGTGCATGTTTGTATATGCTCATGCACAGCTAAATTCACTATGGATTAAGATTTGTACAGGTAATAAGTAGTACATCTGCCACAATGCTTCAGATCAATTAATATTCAATCTAATTTGCTTTTTTCCACATCAGATGATTTGGCTTCCCTGGAGAATAGACTAGCCAATCCTGTCTTGGAAGATGGAGCAGCAGAGAGACCCTTGCAAACTCTTCAAAGAGGTCCCATGGCTCTGGTGTCTGACATCTCTACCCCTAACCTTGCCTCACTTACTCCAGAGGATCATCTTGAAGCAAGTAATGCAAATGATCGGAAGACCGTACTTACAAACCCAATTGCACTAGGAAATGTTGGACTCCACCAAAGCAGACCAGGAGAGGCCACTAGGTTACATCTCAATGAACCACCAAGTATCATTCCACCTTCTTGGCTAGGCCACTCAGCAATTCCTCAAATAAAGCCAGAGTCCATTGTATCACTTCTAAATAACCCAGAGAGCTTTGGGGATCCTCCTAGGAAATCAACTGGGTTCTCCATGACTCATTCCAGCCTGTCCTCTCTTTATTCAAGAACAAGCAGAACCACTGCATCTCCCCCTACTGCTCATATTTCCATTCCATCCACTCCATCTAACCTTAAAAAGTCCATAACTGCCTTATTTCAGGGTTCAAACACCCACAACCTTCCTTTGCAACCTCTGGCTGAAACATTTTCTTCTTCGGCCAGCTCTGCTCTAGATTCTCTTCAAGAGCTTCCTAGCAGCCCAACCCACTTCGCATATTTTTCTTTGGACCAGCAAAATACGGGAAACAACTCTAAATTAACTTCTAGTGATGAGAATAGCCTCACTGATATATCTCCATAGATTGGAGAATAAAATTATTCTCCAATTATTTTGAATAAGAGGAACATAACCACTTTAATATCATAGAGCATCTGCCTATGTGGTTGCTGTTTGCTAGATTTCTCACTATGTATTCATGGTAATAATCTCCATTATAATTTCTGGTTTCTTAGAAAGCAGGTCCTCTTATTGGGGATATCATTTCAGCTCTTGATTGTATTGAGGTTCTTACTTAACTAATACCCCATTGGACTTAGAAGATAGTAGAAAAATGCCTTTTTATTTGCAATATCAGTACAAACATTCTGGTAAAGCATAAAGATTTCAGAACAGAAGCATGACAAGTAGTAGAATTATAGGCTAATTCAACCTCTTGTATTGCATGTTGTATGGCTGGCCTAATGCCAGCAAAAGAAGCAACAATTTGTGCCAGGAATCATATAATAAATTTTCTCACACTATGTCTAATATAGACATTCTGTTGCTGCTTGCTGTCTTATATGGATATTTCAGGACTGATTATACATATTGAAGAAATGTGTCTAGCCTTCCATGAAGTCAGAAATGAACTGAGCATTGCTTTACAGACAATGTACTGCATACTGGCATGTACAGCACTGATTTTAATAGTGGGAAACGTCCACTTTCTTGTTCTGGTGTATATAGAATTCTGCAATTCAGATTTTAATATGTTGAAATATATTTTATGAACGCTAAAATCATAGCATCATACCTAAAGGTAAATGTATTTTTCTATGCCACAGTTAAAAGTATGTTTCCAAGCTAAGCTGATGAGAATTTTGTTTAACATTTCTTGGATGAAATTTGCCAGCCATTAAAGTCTTTGGGAATATTCAGTTCTTGAAAGGCTTTGAAAGTCATGTGCAGCCTATTCATAAAATATGCAGCATGACTGAATTTAGTCAACTACCTCAAAGGGGTGTCTTGTAAGGGCATATCAACTTTTCATAATTGAAACTATAAAGACTGCTGTTGTTTTCTTCCATTTTGATCTCTGGGAATTTCTAATTTTCTGATATATCTAGTAAATCTTCATTGGGTAATCATTTATGTAATTTATGTGCTTCCTAAAACTTAATAGCTAGCATCATTATTCCTCAGTAGGCTTGAGTCTGATGTAAATGTGCAGTACTAGAGCAGTGCAGTGCTTCTGTTTCAAAGCCGCAAAGATGCTTCAGATAACACAAAAGCAGGAACATATCATCTGACTACGGCTCCATAAAGTAACAATGTCTTTTCCCTGTATCACATGACGATGCTTTGCAGCTATAATAGTGTTATTGGAAAATGGCATTTGTTCCAGGGCACCCTTTTTCCTTTGAATCCAAAGGCAGCACAGCCACATGAAATATAACTGTGGACACATCCAGTGGCAATTTGAAAAGTGATTTGAAGTATATCCACAGTTGTTCCTTGGCTGGCTGGCTGAACTTCTGTGAGGCAGATAGAGCCCATATATCTTCAACTCTAGCTTTGTTGGCTTCTAAGCCTTAATCATGTACTCAGAAATTTTGCAGGTGAAAACCCAGAAAGTGCAAAACAGTAGTAGCTAGACAGACAAATCCACATATTAAGAAGCCAGTGTAGGAGTCCAAAGTGTTTGATACATTATGCCACAGGCATTCTGACTGACTTTGCTAAGGTTCTCATACTGATTCAGTTTATGATCTGTCAAAACCACCCTACCTCAGAGGGCATGTAACGGTTTTATGCCGGGTTGAAGTTGATTTCTTCTAAAGAATCTTGAAAAAATGGGGAGACTAAAAATTCACTGGTCCAGATTTCAATTTTCTTTCATGGAACTATATTTGTGGAAGGGGGAATAAAAACCTGTAAAGCCTCATATCTCTATACCTTGAACTAACAACAGTTTATGGCTTAAAGTGACATTGTCTGCTTATCAAGGCAGCTACATCCTTTTCTCTTGCCACTCTTCCCCCTGATTCATAGCCATTCTTGCAGATATTTCCTAATTAGGGCAGATTAGGGCACATCACTTGATGCCATCTATTGGACAATGTGACCAATCTGCATGCAACGTTTTATTGGTAGAAATGGTAAACCCCTTTGAGATCGTCACTTCACACATGCAAGAATTAAAGGACATTTCTAGGTGAATTTACCTTGGTATGTTGCCATGTCAAAATAAATTCCTATATTGTGTTTTTCATGTATTGATATAAAAGTTGGTATTACAGTGCTGTGAACATTTCCATTTAAACAAAATGGTTGGTTTTAAAAACTAAAATATATATTATAATGAAAATTATGGCAAATAAATTTAATCTGAATATTCTCAAACTGGATTTTTTTTTATAACTGAATTTGATACAGTTCATCTTTAAAAGGCTTGTTTTGTATATAGAGAAATATAAGCTTTGGAAAATATGTTTATTGACGTCTTCTTTACTAATTGCAGGAAAGTTAAATGTTTGTTGAATGCGGGAAAAAACTTCTTAAAATTAAGAATAGTTTGACAGTGATATCCATTATGCACAAAGTTGGTGGATTTCCCTTGGTTGGATGTATTCACTTGGGAAATTCCACTTGGAGTGAATTAACTTCAGTTCGTTAGTTGACATGCATTCAGTGTTCAGTGAATACAAAGCCATTTATTTTTATATTCATTTATTGTTGCTGACATAGAAGCATGGGGATCAGGAGTGTAATTACCACACTTAATTCCAAAGAGTCAAGACCATCCTTAGGCTATAATATGACCAATAAGATGTTGCTATTACTTTGCCACAGGAGCCAGGCCAATCTGGTTGTTTGCTCGGTCAAAGACAGAATAGTATTGACGAATGAAGACATCACCAAGGATCCAAAGATCATACTGGAAGGCTATATTCTCGAAGCCACTCATGCAATAACTTGGGAACTGAAAGAGAAGTTCAAATATATGATGAATTTGAATGGCGTAACTAGAGGGCCTTTGCAAAGCATCAGGAAGCTGACATTCCCCTCCCCCTCCTGTTGAGTGTTCCTTATCCATGTTGGAGTAGCAGAAAATCATATTTGCATTGAATAGGCTATCTCCATTGTCTACCTCTAACTTGCCTCTTGTTTAAATCTGGAGTCATCTGATTTCCCTCGAAGGTGATGGGTGACAAACCCTTACAGATTTTGCATACCTTAAGCCTGCTGTTAGGTTATGTTGGAGTAATGAAAATGCTATGTTCATCCTAGTACAGCTACCGTAACACTGACTAAAAATGGGAATTTATTTGTATCCATTTCATGTATTCATAATCATTATATAACAGTGGATCATACATGTTTAACAGTGCTTGCTCTTTAATCGTGTTTTCCTAGAACATTTGTATAATCCAAAAATTTGGATTATGGCATAATGAAATAATAATGCCACAAGGAAAGAATCACTTTATGTGTACCTTCCATACCATGAACAATAGGTTAATATTGCAATATTTGTGATTAAACATAGTGGTTATTCTTGAGTCCAAAATGATAAACTGATAGAATACTTTCTTTCAAATAATCCCCTATAGCAGTGATGGCTAACCTTTTTGCCATCGCGTGCCAAAAGTGGGGGGAGTCGGGTGGTCGCGTGCGTGTGTGCTCATACCCATAATTTTATGTGCCCTGCACCCCATGCATGCGTGCATGGCCCCCCGTGCTCTCCCCACTTTTGGCATGTGTTGGCACGGTGGACCTGGTAGGCCCATTTTTCACCCTCCCCAGGCTCCAGAGGCTTTCTAGGAGTCTGAGGAGGGCGAAAACAGCATTCTCCACCCCCCGGCCCATTTGCCGACTTCCGGTGGGCCCAGAAGGCCCAAAAATCAGCTGGCCAGCACGCACATGCGTGCTGGAGCTGAGCTAGGGCAACACTCACGTGCCCACCAATATGGCTCCGTGTGCCACCTGTGGCACGCGTGCCATAGGTTTGCCATCACGGCCCTATAGCTTTCCTCATTCTGGTTCTCTTTAAATGTGTTGGGTTTTTATTCTGATAATCCCCCAGATAGCCCAAACACTGGGAATTGAAGTCTAAAATATTAAGGATGGTCTATTATGGGAAATGAGATTTACTAGAAATGAATATGATCTACGTGAGAATAATCTTATCACTAAATGTGTTGAATTTCATGTTCAGAGTTCCAGAGTTCAATTCTTAATGCATAATGAAAATACTGCTATGCTAAAAATTATCAAAAACATTTCAAATGTTAGAAAATTTCTCCCACTTGAATATAAGTGACTAAGATTGTCTTGCTATAATTCTTTCATGGGTCAGGTTTTTTCTCTCTCTCGGGGTTTATTGTATGACCTAAATTATTTGAGACAGTTTTTTGGATAAACCACAGATCTTACCTGGCGAATGTAGGCACTGGCGGACAGAGGGTATTGAATGCCATTGATGGTGAAGACGATGTCAGGCAGTTTGTTGATAGCATTGCAGTTGACTATATACTGATGTGAAGTAGGATGAACAGAAAACATATATTAGCAGCCCCATAAGATTTGAGAAACAAACAAACAAAAAAGCTGGGCTATAAATTGTCCAGAAAAAAATGCATTAGAAAACCTGGGCATTTTACACACACACACACACACCCCGGGCAAAAGCCACCTCTGACCCTTTGGCCCTCCCTATCTAGGCCAAACCAAGAATCTTGCATAAGAATTGGAATAGAGGGAGAAAATGGATTGCACATAACAATAGCAAAAAACACTAGAAATTAACCTGAAAAACCTCTTAAGATTCACAAAATCATTGAACCATAGATCTCTAAAGATCTCCTAGCACAATGCGCTTGGTCTGTTTTCCTGTCTCAACCTTTTAAGAAGAATTATATACACAATAATGTAGAAATCACAGCTGCCAGTTCCTTAGCTAGTATCGGCCTTCATGCGCATTGAGTTCTTCTCAAGAACCTAGGATGCCATAATGAATCAGTGTAACATATGGGTGGATCCAAGTAGTGTGGCCTTTTGCAATTGTCAGACGGAAATTTTGTCAATGCACAAATTTTCTAAATGTCATGCAAGATTTTTTGGTATAGCATAATAACTGGATAATTGATAACATAACTGATAACCACAGGAACCATCACAGCTGCTTTATGCTATAACCTTTCCATTTTGAGTTTCAGATCTTCTTTGTGTTCTCCTATCTCCTGATACTACTGCATAAATTATCCATGCTTTCTTCTTTTCAACAATAGTTAAATCTGGTGTGTTGTGAGTCAAGAATTTTTCAGTTTGTATTTGGAAATCTGACATTTTAACCTGCTCACTTTTTTACTACTTTTTCAACACTATGTTCCCAGCAATTTTTCATTACTGGTAATGATTACTTATTTATGTATATTAGTTATAGTCACATATCATTATTATCAAGCTCACCTGACCATTGGAATATTGGCTACCAATGAAGTTCTGAATGCTAGCAATGGCACTGGGAGGACCTGCCAGGAGGGAGGTACCAGTGTCAACAATAGCTTGGCAGCCACCGGAACAAGCAATGGCTTGACCATTGACGGTGATACTGAAAAGAAATATTTAGATAAAGATGAGAGAAAGAAAACTACCATAACCTTTTGCCTGCAGGTCTTTTGAAATTATAAAACAACTTGGGCCATGGGGAAGGAAGAAGAATGAGAAAGATTCAAAATAATCCACCTTGACTTTTTTTTTCTCTATAAGAGGGAACAGAAGGAAATTTTTGCAAGTTTTCAAGAGTCTGTTTTATCACAATGCTAAACTATATTCCTATAGTTGTTAAAGTGTATTTCCTAATCTGTCCTACTTCATAGAACTGATGGGCATCTTCTTTTGCCATTATTCTGCATTTGGTTTTTGATTGCATCTTTGTGAAGCAGGGATGTGAAGGCTGAAGGTGTAGGAGTTGGGTTACCTGTCCATAGGGATCTGCCAATAGGTTTCAGCAGAAAGGGGCACCCAGTTGAGATTTCCAGTAAAGTAGGAGTCGTCAATGCCACCAAACATTACAAAACTCCCTTTCTTGCCATCACTAAAAAATGAACATACAAGAACATGACAATTAGAGGAATTGCAAATATTTTTCATTTCTTTTTTTGTTTCCTTTTATATTATTGGCCTATTGTAACTTTTTAAAAATAATACCCTTAAACGATGGGTTAATTAGTTGATTGTTTCACCTAAAAGCCACCGGTAGTAGCAAAGAGTTAGAGAGTTGTATCTCTTGGCTGCTATCTAGTGATTATATGGATAAGGGGTAAATGTTGTTGAAGAAATGGAATTTAGCTCTGTGAATTGGTGTATGAACTGTAAAACTAGAGATTGGTTGTTAAGTGAACCTGCTTCCCCCATTTGCTTGGCTGATCAGAAGTCTCCTGGGAAGGTCACTGATGGCAATCACATGGCTCTAGGATGCTGCAACCGTCATAAATACATGCCAGTTGCCAAACACCTGGATTTTGATCATGGGACATGGGGATGGAGCAATAGTTGTAAGTCATAAATCACTCTTTTTGGCCCCTCAAAACTTGTTGTTAAACTAATGGTTGTAAGTGGAGGACTACCTGTAGTGTACAGACTCCTGGAATCTACTCCTAGTATTCTTCACTCATCCCTCTCAGGAATATCCCTGGTGCTACGATGACGCAATCTAGCAGAACTCAAAGGGATAAAAGTAATTTACCATTGACTTGTTCCAGGAATTTCGTTTTAAAAAGTTCCTATTCTAGCCAACAGTCCTGGAATTTTTTTATAGTTCCCCATCCAAATACTAAACAGGTCTAACCCTGCTTAGTCTTTTGGGGATCAGTCACAGTCACCTACATGCCGCCACCTGCTATTGATGGTGAAGAGTTATATGCATACTACTTTATAGGGATATTGTTATTGAATGTGCATGCTTTTTTAAAAAAAACCTCACTGGGGATTTTTCATAATATTTTATTAATCTTGCAGTAATGCACTGAAAACTTGTAAAACTGGAAAGGATTGTCTACTGCTGAGTTTCTCCAGGAATAATATGGTTGGCATCCATGCCCTCTCCCTTCTAGCAACAGATAGTATTTAGTCCCTTCAGAAAAACGTGCACAAATCATTGTTACTTACGAACTCATGAAGACGGAAAAGAGATCCTGAGATACCAAATTTTCACTCATCATGTTGTCAAAAACAGGAGTGGCACCAGAGGCCGACAGGCTAGGGAAAGCCAGACCCAAAAAGCCATCAAAGGGGGAATAATAAAGGAAGCTGCCTGGCTCGGTCTGACTCAGACCAAAGATTTGGTTGGTGACCTGAATATCTGCAACCTGTGCAGAAGAACAGGGAGAAATGGTTATAAAATTCCTTTTTAATTTCAAGAAGTACTACTACATTTGCATCGGAAGCACATACCGAGAAATTTCAATTTCAGGCAGATTTATGCATAGATACATACATGTGTGTTTGTAAACAGATCTTGAATGATTCCTATAATTCACTTGATTCTAATTGATTCACCACTTTTAAATAAACTGCTTTGCAGTTTAATGTCTATCTCATAAAATAGCCTCAAAGGAAATCTCTGTATATGTCCTATTAGTTTACCATCTGCAACTATTTCTCTCTGCCCAACCTAAATTTTGAAAGGCGTGTAATTGACGCAGAATCGAGATTAATCTCCTGGCAAAGAATTGGCAATGATTCTCAAAAAAGACATTGTTGAATATAGATTGAGCTACAATCCAATAAATGACTGGATCTTATTCCTTAAAATTAATGGATATCCATTGATATCAACATTATATATCAGTATATACATCTCCTACAGATTCAATAGCAGACATGGTGGAATTCTATGGATAATACAAGAAGTGCTAAATGTAGCATCAGGAAAGGACATAAATATTATACATGGGTGTTTGGAATGCAAAAATGCGAAGAAACCTGGAAATACAGAAAAATCGGCCTGGCTAAATTAACACAATAAAGCAAAAAATAGAATTTGGTAAAGATAATTATTTGTTTATTTACAAAAACTACTTCAAATACAGATACTATACTTGGATTTCACTTGAGAAATAAGCCTTGAATCCAGTCAATTACACAACAGGAAACAAATATTTGAAAAATGAAATCTCGTAAACCTAAAATTATTGCTGTTTAATATATGAGTTAAACTCAGAAAAACAAAGAGAGCAGGTATCCCAACAAGATTTGATCAGAAGAGGGCAATAGAAGGGGAGGTGTGACCAGCGTCGCAGCAGTATGACGGGCTCTTTGAGGGCTCTCAAAGAGCCCCCGATATCTCCGCTGTCCGAGGGTCCCCAGGGACCTAAATCGTCCTGTAGGGATGACAAACAAAAGGAGCATGTACTGATCAGCACAGGGAGTCCGCAAACTGGAAGAAGCTCCTCAATTCGGACAGTGCAGAAAGCAACCTAGAAGTCACTAAGAAGCTGTGGCGGCTACAACAAAAGAGGATGAAGAAAGACTGCATGTGACATGGAGGTAAGAGAGATTTGATCTTTTTACCAAGTTTCTCTTCAAATCTACCTGGAAATTTCACAGGGTGGAAAAGATTAGCTGAAACTGAGGAGTGACAGTGGGTGTGTATCTGCTCTCACATCAGTAATTTGGTGGCAAGTAAAATGCAATTGGAAGCCTTTTTACTATTTTTCTATTTGAAAAAAATAAAACAATTTGGGGAATTTTCAACCTTTTTAAAAAAATTGATAATAAGAACTGGGACAATGAATTGAATCGAAGATGGATCCCATTTGAATGATTTATCATAGAATCATGATGATTGCTAAAAGAAATTTGAAACAACAAAGCCTAAAGGAGTGAAAGTGTTGTATTAATGTTAAAAGTTAACTTACAGTGCCATCTAGTGGCGAAAGGAAAAGAAAAAAAAGACATTCACTTTGAAGAAACTCTAACAAATAACTGACCTTGACATTTTGGTTGAATGATAGCTGTGGAAGAGAAAAGATTAGACTTTGAACTTGCTTTTGAACTCTTTTTTCCCCTTTTTTTCTAGGGACAGGGGGATAGAGAAGGACCCTCGGACGGCCGAGAGGAACGGGCAGGTTCCTCGGGGCCGGAGGCTTGCCCTCTGCGCCGGTGGCAGTGGAACGGCAGCCATGGCGGCTGCCCTGAGACCGCGGCAACCGGGATACAAGAATGCGCAGGAGGAGAACAGGAGAAGCGGAGAGCAGAGCCGGGAGTTTGTATGCCAGGTGAGTGGACATCAACCCAGGCAGAAACTGCCCACAAATGCTGAATTACAATTAATCTGCCCCAGCCTTAACAGCGGCTGAGAACTATTGGGGCACAAAGACAAAAGACCTATTGGTGGATAACATAAATTACTGACTTTTTGGAAATGTTTGACTACAGATCTGTATATATTTTTTCTTTACTTTTTGGTAGATAAATGAGATTGGACTATGTTTGGGAGAGAGGAAGGAGAAGAGGAAATAATTATGCCTTCAAAAGCAAAGGAAAAAGACAAACGGAGACGGATAAAATGGTTGCCAGTTGAAAAGGGAAAGTGTAAATTCCAGGCTGCTTGTTACTTGAAAAGAGAAACTTTGTTGCTTGTTATTTAAACTTGAGGAAAACTTTTGAGGAAAAGACTAAGAGAACTTGATTTAGGATACATAATCTGTTCACTGGAGGATTTATTGAAGATTAGAAAGAAGAAATTAAATGGAACAATGAAAACTGAACTAATAAACGTGGCAATAAAAGAAGGGTGTGGCAATAGAAGAAGGACATGATGATACCATATATGGAATAGCTTCAGAATTAACTTTGTAGAACTCATAACTTTGGTGACATTGAAATGGAAAAGATACATATTTGGACAAACTGTAGAAAGGAATAATGGAATATATTATGTAACAAGACAACTAAATATTATATTTTGATTTAAATGAATGTAACTGTTTCTGGGTGGTTGAATAATGCTAGGAGATACTTTCTTTTTTCCCCTTTTTTTTCTCTATGCTCTCTCTCTATTTCTTTCTTGTAGTATCCTTCTCTTTGTTTCTTTTCCCCTCTCTATTTTCTTTTTTAATCCATTTTACTTCTTTTGTTATATTTCTACTCTCTTCCTTTTTCCTTTTTTTAGTTTTGCCTTATTGTTTTTGTATTTCTTTTATTGTAATGATGATGTTGATGTTGATGTTGATGATGATGATGATGATGATGATGATGATGATGATGATGATGATGATGATGATTATTATTATTATTATTATTATTATTATTATTATTATTATTATTTTATTTCTATACCGCCCTTCTCCCGAAGGACTCAGGGCGGTGTACAGCCTATTAAAAACACAGAAATATACAGACATCAATGAAAAAATAATTAAAATTATTAAATAATTTCGGCCCAAATTAAAACCCACAAATTTAAAACACCCAATTTAAAATCTTTTACATTAATAGCCTGGCCTGGTGGAACAGCAGGGTCTTGAGGGCACAGCGAAATACACGGAGGTCGGAGATCTTGTGCAATTCTGGGGGCAGTTCATTCCACAGGGCAGGAGCTCCCACAGAGAAGGTCCTCCCCCTGGGTGTCGCCAGCCGACATACCTTGGCCGATGGTACCCTGAGGAGCCCCTCTCTGTGGTAGCCGACTGGCCGGTGGGAAGCTACTGGTGGCAGAAGTCAGTCTCGAAGGTACCTGGGTCCTAAGCCATGGAGCGCTTTAAAGGTGGTGACCAACACCTTGAATCGCACCCAGAAGACCACTGGGAGCCAGTGCAGCTTGCGCAGGAGAGGTGTCACATGGGCACAACGAGTCACACCCATAACCACCCACGCGGCCGCATTCTGGACCAGTTGGAGTCTCCGAGTGCTCTTCAAGGGGAACCCCATGTAGAGAGCATTACAGTAGTCCAGCCGGGAGGTGACCAGGGCATGAGTGACCGTGCGCAAAGCGTCCTGGTCCAGAAAGGGCCGCAACTGGCGAATCAGGCGAACCTGATAAAAAGCCCCCCTGGCCACGGCCATCATATGCTCTTCTAAAGACAGCCGTGCGTCCAGGAGGACACCCAGATTATGAGCCCTCTCTGTGAGGGGCAAAGATTCACCCCCAATAGTCAGCGATGGCACCAGCTGACTATATCGGGACGCCGGGAGTCACAGCCACTCGGTCTTGGCAGGGTTGAGTCTGAGCCTATTTCTCCCCATCCAGACCCGCACGGCCTCCAGGCAGCGAGACATCACATCAAGGGCATAATTGAGGTGGTCTGGGGTGGAGATGTACAGCTGAATATCATCAGCGTACTGATGAACTCTCACCCCAAAACCACAGATGATTTCACCCAGTGGCTTCACATAAATGTTGAACAGAAGGGGAGAGAGGAGCGACCCTTGCGGCACTCCCCAAGCGAGGCGCCCCAAGGTCGACCTCTGACCCCCTGCCAACATAAACTGTGAGTGGTTGGAAAGGAAGGAGGAGAACCATCGCAGAATGGTGCCCCCTATTCCTAACCCCCTCAACCGCTGCAGCATGATACCATGGTATCAGAAGCCATTGAGAGATCTAATAGGACCAGGACAGAGGAACAACCCCTGTCCTGAGCCCTCCAGAGATCATCCACCAATGCGACCAATGCCGTTTCTGTGCTGTACCCCTGCCTGAAGCCCGATTGGTACAGGTCCAGATAGATAGCTTCATCCAGGTACTGGGGAAACTGTCGTGCCACCACACTCTCAACAACCTTCGCCACAAAACGAAGGTTGGAGACTGGACAGTAGTTGGCTAATTCAGCTGGGTCCAGGGATGGCTTCTTGAGGAGGGGCCTCACCACTGCCTCTTTCAAGGCGGCGGGAAAGGCACCCTCACTCAGAGAAGCATTTATAATCCCCTGGAGCCAGCCTCATGTAACCTCCCGGGAGGCCAGTACCAACCAGGAGGGACACGGGTCCAATAAACATGTGGCAGCACTAATCTTATCCAGAACCCTGTCCACATCCTTGGGAGCCACAGGATCAAACTCCTCCCAGATAATATTCTCAAGACCTGCCCCCGTCTCCCCCCCTGGACTCACCCAGTCAGAATCCAAGGCTTCCTGAATCCGAACGACTTTATTATGCAGGAATTGCACAAAATCCTCAGCACGACCCTGCAAGGGATCTTCCCACATTCCCCCCCGAAGAAGGGAGTGGGTCACCCTAAACAGAGCGGCTGGGTGGTTCTCTGCAGATGCGATAAGAGCGGAAAAATAGTTAGATTTCGCCACTTTTATCGCCACTAGGTAGGTCTTGATATAAGATCTCACCAGTGTTCAGTCAGAATCGGATTGACTAGTCCTCCAAATGCTTTCTATGCATCTTTTCCGACACTTCATCTCTCTCAGCTCCTCGGAGAACCAAGGTGCCAATTGAGATCGGCATCGGGTCAGAGGCAGCGAAGGCACAACGTGGTCCAAAGCTCTGGCGGCTGCACTATCCCAGGCGGCCACCAGGTCTTCAGTCGAGTCGTGTGCCAGGGTCTCAGTAAACGGCCCAAGCTCCATCAGGAATCTTTCGGGATCCATCAGGCGCCTGGGACGGAACCATCTAGTCAGTTCCATCTCCCTGCGGTGAGGGGAAGCGGCTGGAAAGTCCAAGTGAAGGAGTGAATGATCTGTCCATGACAAGGGTTTAATGTCTAAATCCCCTCTACCAAGATCATTCAACCATTGACCAGAGACGAAAATTATTATTGCTATTACTCTCTCCTTTTTTTTCTATTATTATTTTCATATAAATATATAAACAATTTGATTAAGAAATAAGAGCACAAATGATTGAAGAAAAACATGATTTTTGGATGTTCTAATGCCTTTTTAAATTTTGAATTTTTAACTAGCACTACCTACAGATTTAATAATCTGGAAGAAAATATTTACTTTTAAAGGTGTTGGATGTTAAAAAGAATTATTTATAGAATTAAGAACCATAAAAATTGATTTTAAAGTGTTTCAAAATGTTTCCTATTGAAAATAAGAAATAAGCATGGAATGGGAGAAAACTTAAGAGAGAATAGGAGATAAGATATTTATTGAAATATATTTTTATCTTAAATTGGTAAGAGATATGGAGGAGAATAGATTGGAAAACAATATTGGTAACATATTCCGAAGTAATTTGGAGCTAAACAACTGAATAAGAAATAAATGTTATGAATTAGTTAAATAAATGAATTTAGGAATGGAGGAAAGCATGATTCTGGAGATCAGTGAAAGCAAAACTGTGACCCAGTTTTACAAATAAGGTAGGAGTGGAGGAAAGCATGTGCTGGAAAACAGTTAAAGCAAAGCTGTGAACCAGCCAAAATATTGAGTTAGGAGTGGAGGAAAGCATAC